CGGGGCCCCCACGCGAGAGGACATGGCAACCTTACACGCAAGACGAAGCCAGGACCCAGATATAAAATCGGGTGTGGATACATCGAGAATCTCTGAGATCTGGCTGCTCTGGAGGATGTCTCGGGCGCCGCGGCCATCTCAGAGCGTTCTGGAGCGCTCTGAAGGCGTTCTGGAACGCTCCGGAACGGCTCATCTTCGTCCTAGCCATGTCCGAGGTCCTCACGCGACAAGACATGGCATCCTTCCACGGAGGCTTGCGCATGCCGCCAACGCGGAGTTTTCGGCCGGACAAGACGTCGGGGCCCAACTCAGGGACAGACCACGGCCCCAGCCGTTGCGGACACAAGTGAGGGGGCGGCGGGGTCGTCGGCAGTCTGCCAGGCTCTGAAGAAGGCCGCCGCAGGCGCCGATTTTCGACACATTACGCAGCGAGCCCGTCGCAGCCGACGGATTTTCGTGAAAGCAACGTGGTTGGGCCACGGGTGAGTCGAGAGTGGGTCGCGAGTTGCTCGCGTCGTGGGTGGGTCGCGGGCAGGTCATGGGGCGGGTCACGCTGCGAGTGGCGACAGGAGCGACAGCGAAAATCCACAGCGCGAAGCCTCACTGCGGCCACGCACCCGGGGACCGTGACGGACCGCTCGGCCACCTCACTCCGACGATGGGATGGCGTCCTTCCTCGCTTGCTGTGCGTCCGCGTGCCTTTGGCTCCTCTGGGCTGCCAGTGCTGCGGGAGGGGAAGGCTGCCCTGACCTTCCAGGGAGCTATTTTCTAACACTGGAGACCCAAAAACCTAAAAAACTGAGCGAAACTGCCTAAAACCAAGACGTAGCATAGCTCTGGGATAGGTCTTTAGGTCGGGTGCTATTTTTTGGCCCTCCTGGAAGGTCAGGGTGGAGGACCGGGGGCGAGAAGCCCACTGCGACGGCGGACGCCGTCGTGGAACAGAGAGGGGCGCCAGCGCGCGCGACGCTCGCGCGCCGGCATGCGGCGCGCGAGCGTCGGCGCAGCCGACCCCCCCCCCCAGTGCTTACGCCGCGCGCCCCTGCCGAGCCGAGGAGCAGTGGAAGCGCTGGGCCCGAACCCTCCACCCCAGGCCGAGAGGCAACCCCTGGGCCGTACTGGACAGGGTAGATCAGACTAGTGTTGATTCGATTGCTCTGAGTGCTTCCTGCAAAGGCCGGGGACGCCCTGAGCGCGTTCTAGATGTGGGAGCAGGGCCGGGGCCGCCTGGCCACGAGGGCGCGCACACCGACCCCGGGATCTGCGCGTCGGGAAGGGTCGGCGCCCCCCGAGCAAGCCAGAAGCGCGCGGAGGCATCCGCACTCCTGGGCCCGTGTCTTTGCTGGGCTTGGGGGGAACGATCGGGGGGACCAGCCCAGGGAGGGCAACATCGACCTTGAGTCGGCGATGGATCCCCGATAGCGAAACAGCACGTTCCTCAGCGGGGTGGGGGGAATCGGACAGCGGGGGTCGATGAGTTCCCCCCAGGGCCAATCCCCACCGTAGTTGCCCCTGAGAAGAAGGGAAGGAACGAAGGGAACGTTTAAGGATGGAGCAGTAGCGGGAAGAAGCGAGAACTGCAGAGAAAGAGAGAGAGAGAGAGAGCGAGGAAAAGAGAGAGAGAGAGAGATAGCGAGGGAGAAGAGAGAGAAAAGAGAGAGAGAGAGAGCGAACAGAGGGAGAGGGAGGGATAGAGAGAGAGAGCGAAAGAAAGAGAGGGCGAGGAAGAGAGACAGATAATGGGATATGTATATATATATAGAGAGAGAACAAAAAAGAACCATGATGGATCTGATGCTGAGTATGATGACATATGGAGGGACGACAATTGGTGATGAGGAGAAGCAACAGCAAGAGGACCAACGGCAGGACGAGCAAAAGGGGAAAAACGACGGCCATGACGAGCCCGCGCGAAATGCGGACGCCGCACATTGAAGCCATTGTTGGATCTCCCGCAGAGGTGTTTTTGAGCACGACCGCTGCACTGCATGACTGAAGCACTCTGCATGTGACAGAAAGCAGAGTGTATCCCCTCTTCTTGGGGTGGATTACTCTGCAAATCGTGTCCGAATAATCCTGTTTGTACATGTCCTTGCCCGACTTCTTGTCGATGAGAGGAGCCGTACGCAGCTCTCCGAGCTTAGCCAAACGGGCCCCAGACGTTAAAAATTCGCAAGCGGCGCAAACGACCACGATCGAATCGTTAGAACAGCCAAACTTCACACACTCGTGGTCGAAGTCCCTCAGGGCCTGCACATTACCCCTCAGGGACTGCACATTACCCCTCGGGGACTGCTGGCAATTTCCAGCAAGGGCTCGACATGACCCTCGGTCTAGGTCGGGCGTGTTCCCCTACAGGCGGATTCCGGGCGACAAAATAAAAAACAGTCAAACCTGCTCAAAAAAACCGTACCCGGAGTATCTTTCTCCCTATTCCTGGAGCACTCCTCCTGCTGGCCATCGCTCGGACGTCCATTCCCTGTGTTTTTGTCGGTTTCATGCGCGGCTCTTTCGCCAAATGATCGAGGATGCTCCTCGATGGTCCTCGCCGAAGGAAAAGTGCACACGTCCGAGCGATGCCAAGCCCGTGGGGGGACACGCCCGACTCGACCCTCGGTCCTGGACGTGCGCAGGCGCGCCTCGGCACTGCCAACAGAGAACGCTTCGAGCCGACTGGGGGCGGGCCCAGCCACGGCCACCGGTGGGGCGCGGGGGGCTCTCCCGCGCGCCGTTCTCTCGACTGGTGCAGAGGGCAAAAAATCCCCCCCCCCCCCCGTGATCACGACCCCGACAGGCGAAGACGCTCAGCAAGCGCACCCAAAGAGGGCATCGAGCAACGTAAGGCTGCTCAGTAATCGCCCAGGGCCGTTGAGTAAACGCCGATCACTACCGGGTCCGGGTGGTTTTTCGTCCCTTGATGGTATGAGCCAAAGATCACCTGAGAGTTCAGTCATGGGCCATGGCAGCAAAAGCTCGGCAGCGAGGCGGCGCGAAAAAAATGGCAATCGACGAGGCGAGATCGATCTCCCGCAACTCGGAGGATCGCCCGTATCGAAGCGCATCGCCGATGGATCGCGGATGCACCAGTGACGTCGGGACGCACAATCTCGGACTCCAGATCGTGCCGCATCGCCAATGTATCGGCGATGCAGCGTGATCCTCCGACGCCATCTGCTCTGGCCGCGTCTGGGAGGCCTGGATCAGTGCAGATCCTGTAATGGGAGCAGGCACTGGTCGGGGAAACACTACAGCTGCTTGATCATGTGCGCCTCTGCGCTGTTTCGCTTCCGATGGGCACCTGAGGCCCCATGACTGGCATGAATGAAGGGGCCCTGGGACGCACAAATAAATACACACAAATACAACGATTCCCCATGTTTTCACGTATTTTCTGGGTTTTTGTCTTCCCCCCCACTTCCCATATTTTCCTATATGTTCTGGGGAATCGACTGTTAATTGTGTCTGTGTTTTTGTCCCCTCCTGAATGAAAGAAGCGGGTCCTGAGGGACACGGGCCCTGGACACGGGTCCCCGCCGGCAGCTCCTCGCCGACTCGTTTCTGCGCCCGTGGGGGTGGCCCGAGGAGGGCCCTCGGAGAGCCTGCGAGCTGCGAGCGCCTCACAGGACCCGCCCCCCTGGGACCAGGATCCGCCCTCAACCTGTTCCCAGGCCCTCCTGTCGGCGGCGACCGAGGGGAAGCGAGAGGGAGAAGGCCTTCTCAGAGGGCGGCGGGGCTCCTTAGAAGCCCTTCCGCCTTCTGGGGCGGGCCTCCCGAGCCTTCGGGGACTTCCGAGCCTTCCGAGAGGGCCCGCCCCGTCGCACTTCCCTCCGGGCTCGCCGCCGATCCTGGGATCCACCCTGCCCGGGTTCCTGAGGTGTGTTCAGCCGTTGCGACGAGAGCCGGCAGAAACGCCACAATACCTGCCAAATGAAGGCGTCGACGTCGACGACCCGTCTCCCTCAGGACCCTCTTCCGCTCCTGTCGGGAAGGCGAGAGACTCGAATGTTGGAGACTCGAATTTGCCAGACTGGGCTGGTACGGAAAAGGTGGGACCTGGTCGATTCAAACTTGACGTGGATCCTGCTTCAAACATCTCACGAAAACTGAACCGAACAGAGGCCGCAAATCCGAATACTGGAGGGCTTAAGTCCCCCCGATTATCGAAGGCCCGGCAAATCAGGTCCGAACAGATTGGGTCAGAGGATTGAGATCCGCATCGCTGATGCATTGATGACGTATCGGCGATGCATCGGCGCTGTCGGCGTCGAGAAAGTCGGGCTCCGCACTCAGCCGCATCGTCGATGCATCGGCGCTGCAGCGCGATCGTTCAACCTCATCTGAGAGGCCTACGCTTCTGGCGACGAGGGGCCCCAACCCATCTGGCCGACAGCGAGTCCTGTTCAAAATGAACAGGCACTGCTGCAGGCCTCTGCACCCATTCTTTCCGTACCGGCCGGTCGGAGAAAGTAGGCAAAACATATGTAGGAAGGCTTCCGCCCGCCCCCTGAAGAGGAGGGAATAAGAAAACAGGTCGATACTTGAAGCAGGAAGGCGCCAAAAGCAAATTTGGATCTGGGAAACCCAGAACTACCTACTTTCAAAGACCGACGTTCACGAACTTCTAGGGGAACGAACAATGACACAAGCATACAAACTCGCAGGTCCGAGTTTTCCTGTTTGTGTCATTGCTCGTTCCCCTAATTTCGATCGTCCCGACCTCCTGCGCGATCGTCCGACCCCGTCTGCGCGGACTATCCCTATCCCTATGCTGGGCACCTCCTCATCACGATGCCAATCTTAGGGATTCCCTTCTTTTTTGAGGGCGAATCCCTAAGATTGTCGCCTTTTGGCGTGTCAATCTTAGGGATAGGGGTACGTTCGAGGCTGGTAACACCAGGTGGCAGTGCAATTGCTGCGACCAGCGAGGGGCCACGACACGCCGCGGCCCGCCCGCGCCTTGGCCGCCTCGTCGCCCAGGTCCAGCAGCGTCACGGAGCTGTTCACGGCCTCTGGCCGGCGCGGGGCGGCTGGCACCGCGGACCCTCTTGCGCAGAAGGCATCCACACACCACCACCCTGCCAGGCCAGGGCCATCCTGGCCCTGGCATGGTGTATACGCCCTTCTGGCCGAGGCCAGGAGGGTCTGTACACCATCCTGGGGCCCAGGATGGCCCTGGCCTGGCACGGTGGTGGTGTATGGATGCCTTCGTCGGAGGCCTCTTGCTGCTCCTCGCCGCCGCCGGCCGAGATCTTCGGCGACGTGACTTGCTCAGCCCGCCTCGAGCTATCCCTGTCCCTGTGATCGGCGAGCCGAAGGCGATGACAATTCCAGGGGTGTGCCATCAGAAGCTGAGGGATTCCTGAAGATCGGCACCAAGGTAAGGTGATGCCCAACATAGGGATAGAGATGTGCTTCAAGCTGGTAGCTGTTGTTTCAGTCCCGGGGGTTCTCTTCGACTTCGGCCTCCCCGGCCCGCGATTTCGGGGCCTGGGGCCTACTGCCCGGAAGGCGGTAGGGACCTGCTTGGCGCCGCGGATGGAGAACACCTGCCTGCGGATGTCAGGGACGTCGTCCCAGACGCCCTCCCCCTCCCCGTTCCCCCTCCGGCTCCTCGTTCCTGGGCTCTCGGTTCGGCTTCGGGCCGTGCGCGGCCAGCCTGCTGCCAGAATGATCCGTCATTCTCCATCCTCCCACCTCTCATGCAGCCCCTGCTCCCCCCTTGCTCCCTCCGATTCCCTCCCTCCTCCTTTTGACCTACTCCTCCTCCTCCTCCTCCACCTCCCCCTCCTCCTCCCCCTCCTCCTCCTCCTCCTCCTCCTCCTCCTCCTCCTCCTCCTTCTCACTCATCCCTGACGAAAGTTACCCACCCTCCTGCGTGTTCACTCCTCTGCCTCTTGCAACTCCTCCCCCTCGCTCCTCCATCCTCTTTCCTGTCACCTGCCTCCTCCATCTTTCCTCCTCGTCACCGTCCTCATGATCTTCCCTCCCTCTTTCTCATCACTCATCCTCCCTCCTCTCTTCTCCTCATCCTCCTTCCCCTCAACCTCTCTTTCCCTCCCTCCCTCCCGCCCCCTCGTCGCCCCCCTCTCTGTCACCTCCCCACCCCTCCCTCCACCCCTCTCCCTACATCCGCGCAGGAACGCCTCCCTCTCTTCCCTCTACTCCGTCCTCCCCCCGCCCGCCTCTGCCTTCTGAGGCACGCCCCCCTGCACGTGAGGGGAGGACAGACGTGCATCCCGTCCAGCCCTGGACGGTCGACGACCACGACGTGGGCGCGGCGGCGGTGCCTCGTCGACGGAGAGGTCGGGAGACCTTGCGGTGTTGGGGCGCCCTCCCCTCCTCTCCTCTCCTCCTCCTCCTCCTCCTCCTCCTCCTCCTCCTCCTCCTCCTCCTCCTCCTCCTCCTCCTCCTCCTCCTCCCCCTCCTCCTCCCTCCTCCTCCTCCTCCTCCTCCTCCTCCTCCTCCTCCTCCTCCTCCTCCTCCTCCCTCCTCCTCCTCCTCCTCCTCCTCCTCCTCCTCCTCCTCCTCCTCCTCCTCCTCCTCCTCCTCCTCCTCCTCCTCCTCCTCCTCCTCCCTCCTCCTCCTCCTCCTCCTCCTCCTCCTCCCTCCTCCCTTCCTCCTCCTCCCTTCCTCCTCCCTTCCTCCTCCTCCTCCTCCTCCTCCTCCTCCTCCTCCTCCTCCTCCTCCTCCTCCTCCTCCTCCTCCTCCTCCTCCTCCTCCTCCCCTCCTCCTCCTCCTCCTCCTCCCCCTCTCCTCCCCCCTCCCCCTCCCCCTCCTCCTCCTCCTCCTCCTCCTCCTCCTCCTTCCTCCTCCTCCTCCTCCTCCTCCTCCTCCTCCTCCTCCTCACTGAATGGCAATGCATGGCGAGCGCAATCTCGACTCCTCCTCCTCCGCCGCCGCCTCCTCCTCCTTCTCGTCTTCACTCGTCGTCAGCATCTTCCTCGTTGTCCTCCTTCCCCGTCGTCGTGACCCTGTTCGGATCGAATTCGCATCGCTGGCTCTGCAACGGCACACCGCTGTTGTTACCACACGGGCGACGGACGGGCGTCGCTGGGCCGCGGACGCCTCGCGCGGGGCGCACCTGGCCGCAAAAGTCGCCGGTATGGTCTCCCGTGTGGCCATCCGTATGGTCTTCCGCATGGTCCATGTGTATCGTCTCGTGCCTGGTACCCCGTACTGATCTCCCAAGTTGTGTACCGTGGTGGTCCCGTGTGGCCTCCCACGGTGGCTGCCACATGTTCAGTCGTGCGGTTTTTCCAGCGCGGCCTCCAAACTGGTCTGCCGCATGGTTTCCCGACCGAGTTTCCGCACGGTCTCCCCATGTGGTCTCTCGCACGATCTCCAATGGGGTCCCCCGTATGGCTTCCCGCACGTTGTCTCCCCTCTCGCATGATCTCCCAAGTGGTCTCCCGCATGGTCTCAAGAATGGTCCCCCATGTGGTCTCTCGCATGGTCTCACGCATGGTCTCCTGCATGGTTTCCCGCTTGGTCTCCTGCATGGTCTCCCGCAGAATCTCCTTGTGGTCTCCCGCATGGTCTCACGCATGGTCTCACGCATGGTCTCCTGTATGGTTTGCCGACTGGTCTTCCGATGGGCGATGGTCTCCCGTATGGACTCCTGAATGGTCTCCTGTGTGATCTCCCGCATGGTCTCCCGTGTGGTCTTCCGTCTGGTCTCTTGTACGGTATCCCAAGCTGTCACACATGCTATTCCGCATGGTCTCCCGAATGGTCGTCCGTATGGTCATACGCATGGTCTGGCGTGTGTTCTCGTAGATGGTATCCAAAACAATCTCCCGTATGGCCTCCCGCACTGGTCCCGTGCAATCTCCTGCATAGCCTCCCGCGTGGTCTCCCGTATGGTCTACCGCACGGTCTCAAAAATGGTCTCCAAAATGGTCTCCAGCATGGCTTCCCGCATAGTCTTCCGTATGAACTCGAGTAGGATATCGCCCATGGGTCTCCCTTATGGTCTCCCGCGTGGGCTGCCGCATCGTCTCTCGTAGTTGAATGCTCGCAATAATGTCTGTCAAATTCTCTCCATCCTCTATAACACTCTCTTCAAGATCTCGTGTTGATATGAAGAATCGCTGTAATGTTTCGCCGCCAAGGGTAAAACTTTCAATGCGGGGTCCTGGGATGTCCCGACCCTTCCACCAGGGGCGGCTTTTCATCAAGATTTTGGTTGGACGGTCCTAGGGCCTGGCGGGAGCCCCCATGCAGACGCCGAATGCAACGAAAGACCTCCGTTTTTCTGATATATGCTAGCCGTTGGATGTCTGGGCTCCGGGTTGATGCCAGGCAAAGCATCAACCCTCTAGCGGCCGTTTGGGACTATTCGGGCACCCCAAGAAAGGTCTGGGCAGGGCGCAACTATTAGGTCTTTCAAAAGTAGTCAACGAATACTCGAAATCATTTTTCTAGCACGAACGATCGTTACCAGACTATTTTCTACCATTCTTGAATTCTCCTCCTGTAGAGGGACATGCCCGACTTCACGCAACTGCTGGAAAGCTCCCAGCGGGTGAAAAACCTTTAGGGACTGACGAAGACGCCCGGGAACTTCGGGGCTCGCCAGCTCGCCGACATCTTCAAACTTCACCTCCACAGAGGAGCAAGAGCCCACGGCCCCTGTCGGCGATATATCGGCGATGCATCGGCGACATCGGCGGTGTATCGGCGACGCCAGCGCGGGCTCCACATCGAGCCGCATCGCCGATCCATCGACGATACGGCGCGATCCTCCGACCCCATCTGCTCGGACCCCATGTAGGAGGCCTAGATACTGGCACAGGGGGAAACATCGACTTGGAATCGGCGATGCATCGCCGATAGATCGGTGATGGGCCCCCGGTAGCAGATCCCCACTTTCCCGGGCGGGGTGGGGCTATCGGGCCCCTATCTGCGATCAATGGGCGACAGGGGGTCGATGCATCCACCCCTGTGCCTATCACGCCCCGCCCGCCTTTTTGTTACAGTTTGGGGCCCTTGCCCCGCCCGCCTCTGGTCCCCCGCTGAAGCCCGGCGCGCGCGGGAGGGCGGGGCTGCCGCAGGCGGTCTTCCAGCGCGCTGCGGATCCTGCCCATCTGCAGCTCCACCTGCAGCCGAGGGAAGGCAACCGCCCCCCCCTCCCCTGCTGACGGATGGCGGCCCCGTGGCCGCACTCTGCTAGGCCTTCGATGGGGCAGACAAGGCCGAAACCCATGGGGATGCACGATGGGGGGCGCCCGTGCTCTCCAGGGGCGCGCCCGAATAGCCCCCTCGGAGGTGTATCCCCGCGTGTCCCTTCTTTTCTGGGCGGCAATTTCGGTTGGGGGGAACTCGAGAGCAGGAAAAACTGCATACGTAAACATGATTTCTCGGAGGTCCGCTCGAACTTCTTCCATCAGTCTTGGGCACCCCTGGCGACGCCTCCGTCGCCGGCCCTGGCGCGCTCCGCGCTCCAGGGAGGGGTGCCCAACGCCGATTTCAAAAATCTGCGCGGTCCTCCTAGGTTTTACGTGTGTAGCGTTTGGGATTCTTCGAAACTCAGGGATTGGGGGAAAGGAATCGCCTGCCACCCCCGCAGGGCCTCCGCTCGCAGCCGGAGGCGCACACGAGGGGTGCGGGGCCTCCACCTCCTCCTCCTCCTCCTCCTCCTCCTCCGTCCTCGTCCTCGTCCTCTCTCCGCCTCTCTCCTCCTCTCTCACCTCCTCTCCTCCTCTACTCCTCTACTCCTCTCTCCTTCTCTCTCCTCCTCTCCTCCTTCCTCCTCCTCTGTCCTGCTCCTCATCCTCCACCACCTCCTCCTCCTCCTCCTCCTCGTCCTCCTCCTCCTCTTCCTGCACCTCCTCTATCCTCCTCTGTCCTCCTCTCTCCTCCTCTCTCCTCCTCCTCCTCCTCCTCCTCCTCCTCCTCCTCCTCCTCCTCCTCCTCTTCTCTCTTCTCTCTCCTCCTCTCTCCTCCAATCTCTCTTCTCTCTCCTCCTCCTCCTCCTCCCTCCTCCTCCTCCTCCTCCTCCTCCTCCTCCTGCTCCTGCTCCTGCTCCTCCTCCTCCTCCTCCTCCTCCTCCTCCTCTTTCTCCTCCACTTTCTCCTCCTCCCTCCTCCTCTCTCCTCCACTTCCTCTTCTCTCCTCCTCTCGCCTCCTCTCTCCTCCTCTCTCCTCCTCTCTCCTGCTCTCTCCTCCTCTCCTCTTCTCTCTCCTCCTCTCTCCTCTCTCCTTCTCCCTCCTCCTCTCCTCCTTCCTGATCCTCTCTCCTCATTTCTCCTCCTCTCTCTTCCTCTGTTTTTCTCCTGCTCCGCCTCTCCCTCCTTTACTTCTCCTTATAGATAACTCCTCCCCGTCGCGCACCGAGGCCAGTCGGCCAGGCGTTTCGCCAGAGACTACCTCACCATTTATGATCCTGCAGTTTGACAATTGCCAACAGTTTCACCGACGGAGGGCGGGTGGTTTTCAAAATGTGGCTCTCGCCTCAGCTCCGCGCACATTCGCTAAAAAAACGCGGTTGGTTTTCAATGTGTGGCTCTCGCATTCGTTTTACTTACCCGGTGACGTACCCAACCCTTTCTACACATTTGGCGGAACTATCTGGGACCGCTGAATACAAACAAACATGTTGAAGAACCCTCAGTGCGCATGAGCTGGACATCCCAGGAGACCCCAAAAATCGCAATTACTCCGACGGTAGGACCCCGAACGAGAATATGTTTAACTTGCCAGGGGATATCCTCCTGCCCCCTCCCTTGTCCCACGTACTCCTGCCTCCTCCTTCTCCTCCTGTCTGCTCCTCTTCCTGCCTCAACCTCCTCCTCCTCCTCCACCTCCTCCTCCTCCTCCTCCTCCTCTTGCCTCCTCCACCACCTCCTCCTCGTCCTTTTCCTCCTCCTTTTCCCTCTCCCTCCTCCTCCTCGTCCTCCTCCTCCTCCGCCTCCTCCTCCTCCTCCTCCTCCTCCTCTCCTCCTCCTCCTCCTCCTCCCCCTCATCCTTCTCCTCCTCCTCCTCCTCCCTCCTCCTCCTCCTCCTCCTCCTCTTCCTCCTCCTCCTCCTCATTCCTCCTCCTCCTCCTCTTCATCCTCCTGTTCCCCCTCTGCCTCCTCTTCCTCCGTCTCCCTCTCGTCCTGCATCCTCCTCCTCCTCCTCCTCCTCCTCCTCCTCCTCCTCCTCCTCCTCCTCGTGCGGAACACGACCTAGAGGAAACACACGGCGTGCGTCCCAGCCGCTACGCGCCAGAGGACGACCCAGAGGAAGCGTGCGCCGGAGGACGATCCGGAGAAAGCACGTGAGGTGCGGGCCCCACAGGGAGGGGGCTCCCGCCTGCGAATTCCTCGCAATTCACTCACAGACGAGGCTCCCGTCTTATCCGTCCTCCATATTCAGGCCTTCGGAGCCCAAAAGTGACGACTGTTACAGGGGGTTGATGACCCGCTTCGGATTCGAACGTAAAGTGCGAGCCCCATAAGGAAGGGGCTCCCGCCTGATACTTCCTCGCAATTCACTCACAGACGAAGCTCCCGCCTGATACTTCCTCCATATTCAAGCCGCAGGAGCCCAAAAGTGACGACAGTTACAAGAGGCCGATGACCCGCCTCGGATTCGAACAAGAAGTGCGGGCCCCATAGAGAGGGGGCTCCCACCTGGGACTTCCTCGCAAGTCACTCACATACGAGGATTGCGGGCGGGTCGTGTTCAAAATGTGGCTCTTTCTTTAGCGCCGCGCAAATTCGTTGAACAAAATGCAAAAGGTTCACGGGTTGAGGGCGGTTGATTTTCAAAATGCGGTTCTCGCCTGAGCGCCGCGTCCATGCGTTCAAAGAATGGAAAACCTTAACGGATTGCAGGCGGGCCGTTTTCAAAATGTGGCCCTCGCCTCAGCGACGCGCGCACCCACTCGTGCTTACCAATTGCGAGGAATTTCACTGATGGACGGCGGTCCGTTATCAAAATGTTGCGCTCGTCGTAGCGCCGCGCACATTCGTTCTAAAACATTGTAAGAGCTTCATGGATTGAGGGCGGGTCGTTTAAAACATGTGGCTCTCGCCTTAGCGCCGCGTGCATTCGTCGTAATCAATTGCACCAACTTCACGGATTGCAAGCGAGCCGTTTCAAAATGTGGCCCTCGCCTCAGTGCCGCGCACACCCACTCGTGCTTAACAATTGCGAGGAGATTCACGGATGGACGTCTGTCCGTTTTCAAGATGTTGTTCTCGCCGTAGCGCCGCGCAAATTCGTTCTGAAACATTGTAAGAGCTTCATGGATTGAGGGTGGGTCGTTTTAAAAATGTGGCTCTCGCCTTAGCGCCGCGTGCACTCGCTGTAATCATTTGCAACAATTTCACGGATTGAGGGCGGGTCGTTTTCAACATGCGGCTCTCGCGATAGCGCCGCGCACATTCGGTTTCAATGATGTTCTCAGAGCGTCACGGCGTCACGGAATGTGGGCGGGCCGTTTTAAAAACGTCGTTCTCGCCTCAGCGCCGCGCGCACTTGTTTGAAACAGTTGCAAGGATTTCAATGGTTCTCATTGTTAACGTACCAGGAACGGCGTTCTGGAACGATTCATGATTTTCAGGGTGCAACAGTTACTTTGATTCGCGGTGTTGAAGTCCCAGGAATGGTGTTCTGGCACGATTTAGGGTCACCAAGACGTAACAGTCAGGTGAACTCGTGGCGTTGATATCCAGGGAATGGTGCTTTGGCACGCTTCAAGATGTTCACACCGTTGCCCCTACGGGCAATTCCCTCAGTGGAAATGACCCCTTGCAGGGGCCTATCGAAAGGGATCTTGAAGGGAGGGTGTATCTCAACATCGTTGATGACTCTTGGGTTTGCACTGGTCCTCATCCACCTCATCTTGCTCCTCCTCCTCAACCTCCTCCTTATTGACGTTGCCCAGACGTGAAGCGCAAGCTTGTCGCGTTCTGATGCAGGAAGAAATCCATCTCCTCCTCCTCCGCCTCCTCCTCCTACTACTTTCTCTCTCTCTCTCTCGCTCTCTTCCTCCTCCTCCTCCTCCTCCTCCTCCTCATGCTCCTGCTCCTGCTCCTTCTCCTCCTCCTCCTCTTCCTTCTCCTCCTATTCCTCCTCCTCCTCCTCCTCCACCTCCTCCTCATCATTCTCTCTCTTCCTACTCCTCCTCCTCCTCCTCCTCTCTCCTCCTCCTCCTCCTCCTCCTGCTCCTCCTCCTCCTCCTGCTCCTCCTCCTCCCTCCTGCTCCCTCCTCCTCCTCCTGCTCCTGCTCCTGCTCCTGCTCCTGCTCCTGCTCCTCCTCCTCCTCCTCCTCCTCCTCCTCCTCCTCCTCTGCTCCTCCTCTTCCTCCTCCTCCTCCACGTCCTCCTCATCATGCTCTCTCTTCTTCCCCCTCCTCCTCCTCCTCCTCCTCCTCCTCCTCCTCCTCCTCCTCCTCCTCCTCCTCCTCCTCCTCCTCCTCTTCCTCGTCCTCTTCCTCCTCCTCGTCCTCCTCCTCCTGCTCCTCCTCCTCCTCCTCTCCTCCTCTTCTGCTCTCCTCCTCTCCTCACCTCCTCCTCCTCCTCTCCCCCTACTCCTTCTTCTCCTCCTCCTCCTCCTCCTCCTACTCCGCCTCCCCTGGTGGTTTTCTGAGAAAGGCCTCTTGGAAGCTGGACGCCTTTCCATGAAGGCCCGCTGCCTTCCCAGGGTAGGGAAGACAGAAGAGCCACCCTCATAAGGAACACCCCACACAAGCGAAGCCCCCTTCACCTAAAGAAGGAGTCGAGCAGAATAGGACTCCTTAGTAAGCGACCCAGACTATGAAACAATCGCCGAATACGGGATCCGGCGTGCTTTCCTCCTCACCTGGCCCATGGAGACCTCCGCGGACCTCCGTCACAGAGGTGGAGGTCCTCCTGGATCGGTCCGGCAGGGAAAATGATGAAGATGTTGTCGAGGCTATGCTTCTTCGACGACGTCGTGGCTTTGCCCACCACGTTAGAAGACGCCAAGGGTGGTCCTCGGAGATGGCGGCCCCGAGCCCTTGGGCTTTTCTTCTCAAGTCTCGTGGCCCGAACCCTTCGAAGATGAGCAGGCATCCGTAGACTCGTCTTGGTTAAGGAGTAGGCTCTTTGAATATCTGAGAGAGCGTGATCCACCGCCGCTTTACTGTGGAAAATTGCCAACTTTTTCCTCCGGAACCCGGGGGGCGCCCCCCCCCCCCCCTCCGAAAATCCCCCCCCCCCCCTGCTGGAACCCCTCCCTCCCGCCCCCTCCCCCGGCAAAACCCCCCCCTCCCCTAACCTCCCCCCCCCCCCCCCCCCCCTCGAAAACCGGGGGGGGTCACTACCGGTTCGAACCCCTCCCCCCCCCCCTCCGAAAAGGGGGGGTCACTACCGGTTCGACCCCCCCCCCCCCCCTCGAAAACCGGAGGGGGATCACTACCGGTTCGAACCCCCCCCACCGTCCGCATCACATCCTCCACTGTTGTTCCCAGCACCACTGTCCTCACCACCACTGTCCCCACTGTGTCCCCACCAGTGCCCCCACCACTGTCGCACTGTCCCCACTGTCCCCACCACTGTTCCCACCACGGTTCCACTCTCCCCACTGTCTCCACGGCCCCAACCACTGCCCGACTATCCCCACTGTCCCCACTGTCCCACTGACTCCGCCGCTGTCCCACTGAGCTGTCCCACTGTTCCCACCACTGTCCCCACTGTCCCCACCACTGTCCCCACTGTACCTCTGTCCCATTGTCCCACCGCCGTCCTCGCCACCGCCTTCACCACTGTCCCCACCACCATTGTACCCTCCACTGTCCCATTGTTTCCACCTCATTCCCACTGTGCCCACACCACTGTCACCACCACCGCCGTCCCCACCACTGTCCACTGTCCCCCCTGTTCCCACCATTGTCCTCACCACTGTCCCCACCACTACCGGCCCTCTACTGTCCCACTGTCCCACTGTCCCCACCACTGTCCCGCTGTCCCCTCACCACTGTCCCACCAACACCGTCCCCACCTCTGTCCGCACCCCCACTGGGTTTTCGAGAGGGGGGGGGGGGGAGGGGTTCGAACCGGTAGTGACCCCCCCCCTTTTCATGATGAGCTGGGGGGGGGGGGGGGAGGGGTTCAAACCGGTAGTGACCCCCCCGGGTTTTCCGCCAGCAGCGGTAGAACACGCTCTTTCGAATATCTCGACCATCTCTGCGGGGCCAGCTTATCCTCCCCAGTGGTTACGGTTCGCGGTCCCGGGGCCCGAAACATGCCCCCAGCGGCGCACACATTCGAAAATTCGAAACATAACACACCGATCTTGATCTGTTCCGAACTGCCGTCTGTCTTGCATCTCGGGGGGGGCACGGTCCGCACCATCGCGCCGCTGTCCGCGTCGAGCGTCGAAACCATTACGAATCCTCGTCGATTCCGTGTCGAATCCACGTCGGGTCCGCACCGAATCCACGCCAGCTACACCTCAGTTGATCGGGCAGGCAAGGTTCCCCGCGACAGCACACTGTCTGCGCATCAAGGATGTGTCCTGATGCACACCGATATCACATATCTTGGGAGCCCGAGCCATGGTCCAAGTTGCACGTTTGCATGCTTCGGGCTGGCCCAGAGAAGCCTTCCCTTCGAAAATCCCGCCCTGCTCTGTGGGAGCCCCAGCTAAGGTGACGGTGGGCCCGTTCGCATTATACCCGCAGAACTATCAACCCGAATGTCCAAGCGCATCATCCTTGTGTCCTCCAAGCTGAGGAGGGTGGAGGGGGCGGGAGAGAAAGGACGGGAGAACACGGGGATAGGGGAGAGGCCGTCAGGGAAGTCAAATAGGGAGGAGGGGGGGGGGGGGCAGAGCAGGGAACGCAGAGAGGAGAGGAAGCAGAACAAGAACAGCGAAAGGAAGGGGGTGCGGGAAGGACCGCGCGGAAGGTGCCCCTGGGGAGCGCAGAAGCCACCCCAACCCCCCCCGGGAGAACGTCGGCCACGCTGGGACTTGCACCCCTTGGGTGGGGATGGATGCTGTCCTCCTCTGGCCTCGCACCACCCATCCCCACGTAGAGGGGGTACGCTGGGAGACCGAGCGTACACGTCGGTCGGAAAAGAAGTGAAAACATCAAGTAGGAAGGCGGATCGAGTAGATTGGGTTCAGGCCCTCCCCAGGATAATAACAGAACACAGCAAGAGCAGATCGAGTCTGGAAGGAGGAGGGCTCTTGAGGCAGACTGGGATCTGAGAATCCAGCAGCGCCTACTTTCAACGACCGACGAGTACCCTGTCCCAGTCGGGATTACGTAGAGGAAGAAACAACGGCATAAGCATAAACTGTTGCTGCTCTGCGCTGCGCGGATTTCTTGGATCTGAGCTGGACACCCCTCCCTGGCGCGCGGAGCGCGCCAAGGGCGGCGCCGGAGGCGCCGCCAGGGGGGGCCCGGCGCGGATCCAAGAAGTCCGCGCGGAGCGCCAAAAATTCATGTTTGTGCCGTGTCTCTGACTCGATTCAGATGTTGCCGAGGGGGGCGAGCGCGTGCCTCCTCCAGCACCTTGTGGAACGTGGGCAGGCCTTTGTACTGGCGCAGGAACGGCGCGCAGCAGCAGTAGGCCTCGCGCGGCGGGCGCATCCTCCGTCCGTCCCTCCCCCATCGCCCCTTCCGTCCGTGCTGGGATTTGTGGGAGGCAACTACTGTTGGCGGCGAGCGGGGGGGTAAGTGAGAAGGGGCGGGCCTTCTTGGAAGGCTCGGAAATCCCCAGGGCTTCTGCGAAGTTTTCTGAGCCTTCGCCGAAGGCACAAAAGACTTCTCAGAAGGCGCGAGGGCTTCTGAGAAGCCCCGCCGCCTTCTGAGAAGGCCTTCTCCTTCTCACTCCCCCCCCCCCCCTCGCTCGCCTCCGATACTGGGAGGTCGGAAGGAGCAAGGAGGATCAAGCCCCCTTCGGGGGGCTTCTGCGCCAGATCAGGCCGCGGACTAAATGGGATTGAGCCGAATGAAGCGGGATTAAGCCCGATAAGCAGGATTGAGCAAGATTTCGGACCAGGGCAAAGTCAGACTTTGGCCTCCAAGGAATTGCATCCGAAAGATGTAAGCCTCGTCCCAAAAGGAAAGACCTTCTGGACTCCAAGCGCACGTCACAATTGCCTAACGACTCGAGGTCACTGTTGAGGCCAGCGGGTGCCCTCGGAAGCCTCTGGGGAAGTCTGGGGACCTCAAGCGACGTCATGGGTCAGGATCCGTGGCAGAATCAGGTGTGCCGCTGTCCCTTCTCGCACCCCCTCCCTGCTGGTGGTGCCGTCGCTACTCACAGGACCCTCTTCCTGCCCTCGAAAGACACATGAACTACAGTCGAACCTAGGCCAGAAGAACGTCCCTCAAGAACATGAGACCCTCTGTCGGCCAAAACAAACAGAACATCCAAGAGTGCCCTCACCAGGGTGCACAAAAACATCCAACAAACACGAAGAACACTAGGGTACCCCCCCCCCCCGAACCGACCTCGATCTTATGCCTCGGTCCGACTGCACACTGCAGGGCCATCCATCCTCAGTAGTAGGCTTTCTCAAATTCTGGAATTAGACATTTGGCCGAAGGGTGGTGGAGGGGGGGTCTGGGTCTGGGCCGGTGTTCAGTCGATCTGCCTCCACCAGTCGCGCAGGCAGACTGGGGCGATGGACCCCGACCAGTCGCCCAAAGCAGCCGCCCAAAGCAGCCAAGATCTGGTCCGTGGGGGGGGGGAGGTGGCGGGGGCCCGCGCCCGTCGGCGAAATAATGCACAAGGAGACACCGACGTGCAGGCGCCAGGAGAAGTGGCTCTTCGGATACCGACTTTCGAGCCAGTCAGCCATGGCCCCGTAATGTCTTTGCAATTCACATGGCGGTGACTGCACCACATCGCGCCGCGCAGCACCGCCTTGCCATGCGGCAGGCTCGCTTGCACGCTGGCTTCTGACACTACGTGGATCGATCGGTCACACTTGAACGATCGCGGCTTCCCGATCGCACACGATTGTTCGACATCAGGCGATTATGGGCTACCAGCAGCGCTCAACCTTGAACGCCAGCGCTGTGGTCGCCGCCGCGTCGACACGACACGCACCCATCGCACACCGGCACATGGCGCCGCGTCTTGCTGAAGCGGGCGTTGCATTACATGTACCTCCTCGCGCTGTCTGGGTGACCTTGAAGCGGGGACTCGGCCGCCAGTAGCGCGTGAAGCGTGGCTTCAGACCACCCCTACCAGGAATTCGGCGCGCCTCTGCGAAGCCCCCTATCGGTACTGCCCCGCGGCGTGCACGACATGAAGAGACGGTATTACACAGCGCTACAAGCAGCTGCATAGGGTTGGGCGCTTCGCCAGGCTATTTATGGCCTGGTCCCTCTGCCCGCTCTTCTCATGCTGGCATTGGCGGGCTTTTGCGCGAAATGAACCAGAGATGCAATACATTGGGCATACACGAACATGCTCACACCCTCCCGTTGCACATTCACGTCGTGTGCACACACGCACGCACGCACAACACCCACACATACATACACACACACACACACTCAGACACATACACGCTCGACAGCGTATGTGCATATACCTGATGTGATGCATGTACTCACTACGCACATACTGAATACATACTATGCGCTGAATAGTTCCCGCATATAGCGGGGTACACTGTGGTCCAATATGGTCCCGACTGCCAGATTACCCATGTACGTACACAGCCCGCCCAAGACGCATGGCAAGACCCTGGAGCGTGTCCGCGTGTGTCCGCATTCCGCTGACCTCGCAGGGGCTCACGCAAGCGGCAGCACCTGCGCAGTTGGCATCTCTCCAGGAGGTGAGGTTTCAGTTGGATGGGGTCTCGGACGCGTGACTGGGGTGCCGAAATGGGCGCAGTCACACATGCGATTCCTACCACTGGGGCCTTCGGTGGAACTTCCTATTGCGGCCACGAAACGTGTGAGAGGTGTGCCGACATGGGCGCGGTCACGTATGCGATTCCTGCCACGAGGGCCTTCGGTGGACCTCCCCATGGTGCCACCAAAAGTGGGGGGGTCCGACATGGGCGCGGTCACACATGTGGGCCGTGACACTGGGGCCTTCGGTAGAGCTCCCTGTAGGGCCACAAAACGTGCGACTGGGTGCGACGAAATGGGTGCAGGGATCGTATGTAATACCACGCGTTTGGGGTTAATTGATGAAGATCCCTGTGGGGCTGCGAAACGTGTGAGAAGTGTGCCAGAATGGGAAGGGAAACGCATACAATACGACACTTTAGGGGGCCTTGTGTGGAACCTTCTGTGGAGCCACGACGCGTGTGACGGGTATGCCGGAATGAGTGGGGAACTGCATGCAACACCACGATTTTGAGGCCTTCGGTGGAGATCCCCACAGGGGCACGAAACGTTTGAATGTCGTGCTGGTATGGGCACGCTCACGCATGCGACTCCTGATGCTGGAACCTTGTGGAACACCATATTGGGGCCACGAATCGTGTGAGGGGTGTGCCGACATGGGCGCGGTCACGTATGCGATTTCTGCCGCTAATTAGGGCCTTCGGTGGACCTCCCTGTGGGGCCACCAAACGTGCGGGGCCCTGAAATGGGCGCTGTCACGCACGTGGGCCCTGCCACTGGGGCCTTCGGTAGAGCTCCCTGTAAGGCCACGAAACATGCGAATGGGTGCGCCGAAAAGGGCGCGGAGACCGCATGTAATACCACACGTTTGGGGTAGATAGAGGTCCTGCGGGGCCGCGAAACGTGTGGGAAGGCGTGCCGGGCTGGGCGGGGAACCGTATGCAATACGACACCTTGGGGGCCTTGGGTGAACCATTTGTGGAGCCACGAAGTGTCTGAGGGCTATGCCAAGAATGGATGGAGAACTGCATGCAACAACACTCTTTCGGGGCTGTCGGTGGAGCTCTCTGTGGGGCCACAAAACGTGCGAAGATATTTTCCGAAATGGGCGCGGGGGCCGCATGCAGCACCGCGCTTCTGGGACCTTGGGTACAGGTCCCTATAAGGCCTCGGGCCATGTGAGGGGGGCGGCGATATGATGGGCAGGAACGCGTGCGAACGTGGCTGCTGGGGCCAACGGTGCCGCTCCCTATCGGCCCTCGCAGCGTGTGGAAGGTGTGCCGGCATGGGCGCGGTTAAGCATGAGATTTCTGCCACTGAAGCCTGCGGTGGGACTCCTTACGGGGCCGCGAAACGTGTCAGGGTACCGAAATGGGCGCGGTCGCGCATGCGATTCGTGCCTCCCGGGCGTTCCTTCGGAAAACCTTCCCATGGGAACACGAAGCGTGTGAATGTCGTGCCGGCGTGGGCACAATCATGCATGCGATTCCTGCTGCTGGAGCTTTCGGTGTAACATATTTTGGGGCTACGAAGCGTAAGACATCCTTGCCGACATGGGCGCGCACGCATACGATTCGTGCCGCTGGGGTCATCGGCGGAGCCCCCCATGAGGCCACGAAACATGCGGAGGGTGCGCTTACATGGGTGCGGGGACGCAAGGGGGGCCTACCGCTGGGGCCTTCGGTGGAAATCCCGATGGGGCCGCGCGAGGGGCGTGCCAACATGGGCGCGCTCACGCATACAATGCGTGCCGCAAGGCCTGCTGAACTGCCCCCTGTGGGGCCACGCAGCGTGTGAGGGGCATGGCGACGTGCGATTGCCAACGAGTACGATAACGACGACGAGAATAGTGATTGCGGCGTAACGATGCTGAAGACAATCATGATGACACTGACGACGTCGATGACGATGATGGTGATGGAGGCAGTGACGATGAAGATGCTGGCGGTGATGATGGGTGCGCCGATGATGCAGAACCCCATACCCCTGCTAGTAATCCTGGAAGGAACATGAACATCAGGGTTCGGAGGGTTCTCAAATCTTGAGCCCCGGCAGCTCGCGCATGCGAGCGTAGAGCTGGGGCGCCCCTCTCGAGGACCTCGGCGCTGACGCGACGAACGCGGACCTGCACTTTCACGAAATCAGCGCCTCGGAACTCTTGGCCCCCGGCACCTCGACATTTATCGCCAGGAGCTTGCAGCTGGCCCTGTTCTTGCAAGCCTTTGAGCGCGCCCGGAAGCCTCTGTGGCGAACGGCGTCGAAAGGTGCGCGCGCGCTGCCTCGGCACCCCCTGAAGCAGTCCTCGTTGGGAAAACTCATGGCGCGCGCCTGGGCCCCCGCGAGAGCGTCCTCGAGGGTCTTGTCGCCGCGGGTCCTGCGGCGCCTTGGCCTTAGCCTCGCCCTCGGCGTTGACCGAAGCGTTGTCGCTCTCGCCCGGGAGGCGCTGGGCCCAGTCATTGCCTCGGCCGCGCGCGAAACGGACGATGATGGGCGCTCGATGGCCCTCGCCGCGGATGGCATTCCTTGGCAGGGCTGGTGGCGCCGAGCTGGCGGGGGACCCTCGCGGCGGCCTGCCTGGCGTTCGCGGGCGGCGTCCTAAGGGCGTCGCTGCGCTCGCCGGCCGCGTCGGCCCCCTACTGGGACACCCTCGGGTCGGTGAAGTAAGTGTGCGGGGGCCTCGCTGTGCGCCGCGATGAGCAAGCGCGCGGCCTCCTCGACTCTCCGCCCAGCGCCCCTTCTCGCCCCGCTGCGCCGCGGCGGGCCCGATGATGATGATGATGATGATGATGATGATGATGATGATGATGATGATGATAATGTTGACAATGTTGTTGATGATGATGATGATGATGATGATGGTGATGGTGGTGATGATGTTGATGCCATGATGATGATGACGTTGATGATGGTGCTGATGACGCTGCTGTCGGTGCCCCGATGATGATCATCATGATGATGTTGTTGATGATCATACGATATTATGATGATGATGAAGATGATGATGATGGTGTCACGATGGTGATGATGAGGTTGATGATGATGCTGTTGGTGATGGTGATGATGATGTGTCCCGAAGATGATGATAATGATGTTGATGACGATGATGGTGTGCCGATGATGATGATGTTGATGATGGGGATGATGGTGATGATGTGGTGATGATGATTTTGATGATGGTGATGATGTTGATGCTGATGATGGTGGTGTCCCGGTGATGTTGATGATGATGACGGTGGCGATGATGATGATGTTCCGGTGATGATGGTGTTGCTGATGATGATGCTGCTAATGATGATGATGATGGTGTCCTGGTGATGATGCTGATGTTGGTGATGTTGTTCATGGCCACGATGATGAGATGATGATGATGATGATGACGAAGGTCCGGCGATGATGATGATGGTGTCTCGATGATGATGATGCTGATGATGATGGTGGTGACGGTGCTGGTGTCCCAATGGTGATGGTGATGGTGATGATGATGATGTTGATGATGCTGGTGATGGGGTGATGATGATGTCCCGATGATGATGATGACGTTGATGGCGATGATGTCTCATGATGAGCGTGATAACGTTGCTTTGATATCGATTGTGACATCTATAGTGAGATGGATAGTTAGACCGAATGTGAGATCGCTAGTTAGACCGAATGTGAGATCGAGAGCGGGGTCGATTGTGCGATCGACAGTCAGATCGATTGTGAGATCAATCGAATGACATCGATCGAGTGAGACCGATTGTGAGATCGATCGAGTGAGATCGATCGAGCGAGACCGACAGTGAGATCGATAGCGAGACCGACCGAGTGAGACGTTGGTTCCCCCCCCTGAACCTCCTCATCAACCGAAGGGTGGTCGCGTGGGTATATATGTGTATATATATATGTATGTATATATAAATGTATGTATATATATATATATGCACGTGTCGCTTCTGTTCCAAATGGTCCGCCCGCGCGAACTGGAACTCCGCCATGGACGCATCCCAATCGCGGTTTCTCGGGCGACTCCGCGCAAGGTTGATTTTCGCGCGCGCCCCTCGCGAAGCCGCCCCGGGATGATTCGCGGCTTCCCTCGCGGCCGCCGAAGACTCGACGACGCAGGGCGCCCTGCGGCCCGCGGAGCGTCGCGAACTGGTCGCGTCGAAGCGCCCACCCCCCGGCACCCCCGAACAAGCTATCGCGCGCGGGGCCGTCGCAGACCACGGGCCTGTCTCGAGGCGCACTGCGATGACACAACGCGGCGCGCCGACGAAACCGCGTCTTCCAGGCCTGCGAGATCCGAGGCCCCATAACAATATCGCCCCCGCCGCTCCCCCCCCCCCCAGGATCCTGAGGTGAAGAAGCGTCGACTCGGAATTATTGGATTTGTCGTTTCCGGGCACCCCCCCCCGAACTCCGCGCCCACGGCGCTCGCGCCGCTTCGCGAAGGCATCGATGAGGCCGCGCAGCCTCGAGATGATCAGAACAGGAACTGCTGGGGCGCCCCGGGCTAGCGATCGCGCGCGTAGAATCGGCGCAAAACAAAGCATAGCACCCAGGGAGACCGTCGCCTCCACCCCGCCCGCCCCCCCAACATCCCGCCGAGAGAATCGTCGGAACGCCGCGCTTAACTCCAGCCTCGGCTGCGCCTGCGCGGACAGCGCGGTCGCAGGCCTTTGAAATAAAGATCTCCGGCGAGAGAAAAGAAGCGGCGCCCCGGGCCCCGCTGGCCGCCATTCTCCACGAGCTGTCTCACATGGGCAATTTCTTATACGCGGGAACCTGAACTGAAAGCGAACTGCAACCTGGGGCGCGCGCCTGGGCGCGAGCGGCAGAAGGAAGCGGGGGCGGCGCCGCCTGTTGGCCGCGGGGGGCAACGCGATCGGACGGAGTTGTCCGACGCTACCGCTGCTGCGCAAGCCGGCATCTGTAATCAAATTAACGCGATGGATCCCCAGACATTGCCTTCGCCCCCTCCGTTGGAATTCAGCAAGCGGCCCATGAAATCTCGGCGGCGCATTCCAGCGCCTGCCCCGGCAATGCGCAGGGCATCTCCACCGCTGCCCCACCTAGACCACTGCTTCCCCGCGCTCATCCGTGGAAGCCCACCCCCCGCCCAGCCGCGGCCCAGGCGTCGAACGACGTCGAGGGCCGCGGGGCCCCAATGAGAGTGGATCAGCGCGGGCCCCGCGCGTCCAGGCCGCTCATCAATCGGACCGAGGGCGTCTACCATTCGGGGGCCGTGGAGAGTTCCCGAAAAGGTCTGCGTTGAAGGAGGTCAGCGTTTGGGCTTTTTCGCGCGTCGCCCCCGGCGCCCCCGTCGCGTCGTCGCCCGGGGCCATCTGAGGGCACCCGCTCGGGGTCTGGCTTAGGGATCAGCTGGGGGCTTCGTGTTCGTGTTTTCGTGGGTCTTTGCTGTCGCTCGCATGCTGGTGCGTCGCGCACGGTAAAGGTCCTTTGCTGGGGCCGCTCAAGTCTGGCCCCTGGATTCTTCGCGAAGCTGGCGCAGCAGGAATCGCGCCGTCTGCAGCAGCGGCCCCGACTCCGAGACCACGCCAGTAGACGCGCGGGGGCGCCCGCGGCCGCGTCAAGTTGCCGCGCTGGCGACAACGCCCGCGAACTGGGGCAGCGACGGGAAGTCGGCGCCGCTCGGGCCCGACCGCGGCAGCGGCGCGCCCGCGGACTCCTCGGAAAGGCCCCCCTGGAGATGCCCCGGGCAGCTCGCGCTCAGCGCTCTGCGCTGCCATCTGCTCGCGCGAAGGAAGACGCGGCAGCCGGGGCCACCCCGGCAGCCGAAAACAAAAACATCTCGGAACCAATAAACTTGGCGAGGGCACTGCCGTCTAGGTTCATCCGCTAGTTGGTCGGCGTCTTGTCTGGCGAGAGAACCTGCGAAATCTCTTCCTACGTTTCCCGGCTGGCGGGCATTGTCCCGAACGATCTCGAGTCTGCAATGTCCTAGCCCGATGTGCTAGATGTCGAAATAGGCGCGTTAGTAGGGCGCCCTCTCTCGGTCGCGTCGCTCCCTCGGCTAACTGCTTGCGCCATATTTCGCGTCGATGCGCAAGGCGATGGGGTCGCCGATGGGAACCGTGAACTTGCTCGATCAAGGTCGACTCCGAGTTCCAGAAAGCATCGAGGGGCCCATCTTGACCCGTCCTTGTTTCAGAGGCCAGACGCAGAATTCGATGATCGCGGTGATTTCGGCGGCGCCATTTGTCTTCCTGACGACCCCTGGGAATGGCGCGCGCTTCGGATCGTTCGTCGGGGCGCCGCGCGCCCTGACCAAAGACTCCTGCCTAGACGCCGGCGCGCCGCGTCCAGGCGGGGGCGCAGGAAGAACCCCTATCCCGCTTTCGGTTGGGCCCCCCTGGGAATACTGCGCCCCTCGATGCAGAATGCCGCCGGACCAGATGGGCCAACTCCAGGGGTCATCTTGCTTGCAAGAAGGCTTGTCCTCTAACGGCGGGGCCTCGGGCTCGTCCGGATGAGGAACGGACGTTCATCGCTTGCGCGTGCCATCGCAGCACCGATCGTCGAGACTCATTGGTACGCGGCGCGCGATGTTCCATAAAGTCCTGCATAATGACGCGCGCAGACTGGCGGTCGGAATCCTTGGCCGCCGACGCAGGCAGGGGCGCAGCGCGTGAAAAGTCGCCGTCGAAGAAATCCCGCAACGCCCCCGCAGAATCGATCTGCTGATCAGGAAGGCCATGCCCATGGTCATAATGACATGTCCAACGTTCACAGGAAACCTCTTCCATCGCTTCCAAAGGAGACAGAGCGTGCGTTTTCACGAAATCCACGAAGTGGGGAGCCACGCCGTCGCCTTGTCTGGAGGTGGCGCGGGGGCCCACCCAAGGAGAAGCATTGCGATTGCCCGAAGAAGCGTGTGCACCCACCCCGATGGCACAGCATTGGCATGGGCGGTCTGCGATTATTTCGTTGACATCATCTGCTCTCTCATCGCATTGGTTTACATGATGACGCGGAGAAAGATGGGCGCTGATGAAGAGAATATTCTGCGACCCCCAACGTAACCGCGCAGACAAAAAAAACACACCTCTGACGGAACAAATCATCAATGCCCTCCTCCAAACAGTGCACTACAATAGCAGCCCTTCCACGCCCCACATGGGAGCCCGAGACGAAACAACTATGACCAGCGTCCACGACGCTGTGCCCGAAAGAGTCGGAGCACGCAGCCTCCTGGAGCAACGTACAACTGCAATTCATATCCAGCTAAGCCCCAAACGCTTGAACTCTGATACGATGCGACGTACGACACAGAATGATGCGCACCTGCCCCTGGGCTTCCTTTGGGCCCACCCACCAGCGGGCACTGTAACCGATGTCCCGCGGGAACTCAGCGAAGCGGATGTCTAGCGCAGGTAAGCCAGCCTCAATCGAGACCTCGAAGACCCCACACGTGCGGCCCGCCTCGTGGATCCTGATGACGTGGCCGTCTCTGGCACGGTAGCGCACGATGCCCGCGTCTTATTCATTCGGCACCGCGTTGAGCAGGTCCCCCCTCGCAGGCTGCTCGCCGAGGATGTTTTTCTTCTTCAGTTCCGCAATCAGCACGCTGCGGGCGGCCGAAATACGACGTCCCAGGACGTGCTCGCTCACAGTGTTGTCGATCAGGTGAAACAGCATCTCGCCTTGCTGTATGAACTTGTGGCCCTTGAAGGCCTTCAGAAAAGCCCACATGTCCTGAGAGGACCGAAGATCGACCATACCGAAAGAACAGGGCTTGCCTGGAGTGTAGCAATCGTCCACCACCACCACTAGGTACTCCATGTTGCTCCAAAGACGACGTGCGAGCTGTCAAGTCGGCGATCGCCCTGCCGGTGCGGTCCAGGCGGTCGTTGATGGCAGCCATCCTGGAATTAGGGGCATCTATCTTCAAGTCCATGCCTGTCTGCGTTAGACTAATGTTCTCGACCTTTGAGCTCGTCTCGTCGAACTGTGGGCGGAGGGAGGCCGGAATGGCCTCCAGCATGGCTCGAGCTTCTCCTGGCAGACCTGCGGGTGGCGGGGGCGGAAAGACAGGCGAAGAGGGAGCGGTTCCTCCAGGCACGGCGGGAAGTCCACCAGTACCGGATGACATAGCACGAGTGGCGATTGCGCCTGCACCGAACAGAACTCCATCCTCATCAGCTCTCATCGCATTGTCGGCCTCTCCTCGGGCCTTCTTCGACGTTCTCTCGTCTCTTGTCGCAACATGAGATGCCTCGAGAAACGTGGACATGGCGGGAACGTCATTGAATCGTACAGACATAACAGAGAAACGGGCAGCGCGCGTCGTGCGGTGTAGGGAATCGTGTGGGCACCCTGGTGCGGTACAGGCGGAGACACTTCCGCTTGAGCCAAAATGGGCACTCGGTTATGCTGATGATGCATATGCTGCTGATGCTGCCGATGATGATGATGATGATGATGATGATGATGATGATGATGATGATGATGATGATGGTGATGGTGATGGTGATGATGATGATGATGATGATGATGATGATGATGATGATGACGATGATGATGGTCATGTGAATGATGGAGCCGGTGATGAAGACGAAGATTATGACAGCAAAAACGACGACGATGACGGTGTTGCTGTTGCTGCGCCGCTGATGGTGGTGATGATGATGTTGGTGGTGATGGCGGTATTGTCAATGCAGATACATATGGAAGTGATACTGATGACGCTGGTGATAGATGGATATGTATAGGATGATGGTTTGTGATGATACTGGCCACCATCACTAGAATCTTCATCCTCATCATCATGATCATCACCATCGTCGTCGTCCTCGTCATCATCACCATCATCATCGTGATCCTGATCAGGCTGACGACGACGATGATAACGACGATGATGATGGTGATGAACATGCGGACGAGGACGCGCGAAGGGCAGATGCAAGGATAGGAGGTGGGAGCAGGTTGGGGGAGAGGGGGAAAGAAGAGGAGTGACGGAACGGGGGGCGCTGCTGATCCAAAACGAACACGCAGCAGGACAGGATGGACGGGAAAAGCAGGTCAGCGAATACAGACCGCAGGAACGACGCTGGCATTCTCCGCTCCCCCCCCTGGAGATGGCCCCGAGATCCCCAAAGCGTGGGAGCAGAGGCCCTCAAGGAGGCCCAGGGAAAGCGCCCGACACAATTTGTTTGATCTGCGGAGCGAGAGCGAACCTCTTCCGCTAAAAGCTAGGCGGGCTACGCACAGATTTGATTATGGAAAGCGCCCGACACAGAGGAACGCCAGGAGCTCCGCGCGGAGTTCCTGGATCGGCCCCGAGCCCCCCTGGCGCCGCCACGGACGCGCTCCGCGCGTCCCGCCCGTCCTTTCCTACCAGTGGCTTGGCTGGCGACGTCGGCCGCTCGCCCAACAAAGCCAGCGACTCGCCATCGCTCGGACGTCCATTCCCTGTGTTTTTGTTCTGTTTCGTGCGTGGTTTCTTCGCCAAATGATCGAGGATGCTCCTCGATTGCCCTCGCCGAAAGAAAAATGCACACGTCCGAGCGATGCCAAGGCGACGGCGAGAGCGGCGTTGGCATGAAGAAAACGGGTCCTTATGGAAACAGTTCCTGGACCTGGAGCCCGTGCCCGGGTAGCAGACTTCCTCAGATTCTCATCCTGAGCAAGTTTTGCTACCGCCCTGAGGCTCGGTGAGCCCGAGAACGGCGACGAAAACTCAGGACCAACGCGAAACCCTCAGGGCCCGTTTGCTTCATGGCGACGGCGGCGGCGCTTTTTCTGGCGCTCATGCTTCCTCCGCCGGCAGCGCCATCCGTCGCTCCAGCTCGGCCAGCCTTGCGGGGAGGCCACAGACCAGCGACCACCCATCCAGATCGCTCCCCCACCCCTGTCTCCCTTGCAGGGGACAGGGGGAGAGGGCGGGGGTGGGTGGGAAATTGGGGCATTCGAAAACGATCGGAAACATCGGCCCCGGATCGTGGACACATCGCAGATAGGACTCCGATTGAGAAAACGCACAACCCTGGACGGGGCGGACTATCAGAGCAGCATCGGCGCTGAATGGGAGAGTGGGGTAAAGACAAGCTCAGCCCTGGAAGCGGCGAGCAATGCCCCCCATGAGTTAATCGCTCCTCCACCCAGACGCCGAATCGGCACTCCGCCTGCCACTACCGCCTCCCCCTCCCCCTCCCCTGCTCATTCTCATGTTCCTCCCCTGCACCCTTCTCCACCACTCTCTCCTCTCCTTCCCCTCCTCATCCTCCTCCTTTCCGCCCCTCCTTTCCGTCCCCCTCCTGCTCCTCGTCCATCCACCTGCTCCCCCTCCTCAGATTCCTGATCCTCTAACAACACGACGCCCACGACGACTGTGACGACGGCGGCGGCGACAAAGGCGGCGGCGACAACGACTGCGGCACCGAACGCGATGGCGGCGGCGCGATGACGACTGCGACGATGACAATTGCGATGGCGCTGGCGACGGCGGCGGCCATGCCGACGACGACGAGAGCCTTGCGGCCAGCTCGGTGGCGCGCTCGACGTCGCCCGCGCCCGCCGCCGCGCGCTGCAGCCCGCGCAGCAGCCTGCGATGGTCTGGCCAGAGGTCCGAGGGCCACACCTCGGGGGCGGCTGAAGCCGAAGGCCGACGCCCGCGGCGACGTCGACGACCACCACCGCCGCCACGACGGCGAAAGCGGCGGCGACCACCGTTCAAGGATCGAGGTTCGAGGGTCTAGGCTTGCGTCATTGGCACTTGGAGGAGCCTCCGAGGGGCTCCGCGTTGCCAAGGCTGGATTCCCTCGAAATTCTGCTCATCACGCAGCCGTTGACGAGTCCCTGAGCCGAACCACCCCGAACCAGACATCATCGCCAATCAAAAAGAGCCCCAGAGGGAGAGGATGTCGGAGCGTTTCACTGTGTTTTTAAAGCCCAAGGGAGTCAACAGAACTCAGGACGAAGAGCTCCTGGGGGAAGCCCAGAGGTCCCTGACCTGCTTCAACCAGGACCCCTTCTCCATGCCAACAGCAGAAGTAGGCTCCAGCCCTGATGCGCGCATTCGGGAAGATGGTCCACACATTCAAATCAATTGGGGTGGCGGCATCCAGGATCGGCGCGGAGCGACGAAGGGGGGCGATTAACGAAGGCCGTCCCCCAGGGAACCTCGCGAGGAACTGGAAGGGGCAGCTGACTTGTCCGCCGCTGGCGGCCGAGAGGGAGCCCAAGCTCTCGGGCGGCCGAGAGGGAGCTCGAGCTCTCGGGGACACCAGCGAAAATTTGACCCTCCGCCTCATCCCAGATCCCCTAGTCCTCTGCTTCATCCCCGGGTCCTGGCACCCTTCTCCTCCCCCTCATCTGCTGCCCCTTCTCCACCCAGGCCTCCTTCTCATCCTCGATCTGCTCATCCACCTCGACTCCTTTTCTTCTCATTCCTCATTTCACCTCCTCCTCCTCCTCCTCCTCCTCCTCCTCCTCCTCCTCCACTCCCCTTTCTCCCCCTCGTCTACCTCCTCATCCTCCTCCTCCTCCTCATCTTCCTCCTCCTCATCCTCCTCCTCCTGCTCTACTCCCCTTCGTCCTCCTGCTCTACCTCTTCCTCCTTCTCCTCCTCTTATTTTCCCCCCTCGTTACTCAATATGATCATCCTCCTTGCAATGCTTCTACCCCCTCTTCCCACTCCTCCAGACCCCTCCTCCGTCGTCCCCCTCCTCCCCACTCATTCTTCCACTCCTCCTCACCATCCATCGTCGTCCACCAAACCCAAACACCTCCCATAATGAAGCTAGAGGGTGCGCGGATGAGTGCCGGCTTGAGCTTTTCGCCCCAATGCGAGCGCCAGCGACCCGCTGCGCATGGCGGACTCCCAGAGCGGGATCGCCTTGTCAGGGAGGCTGCGGCAGGTTCGCGTCGCGATGGCATCGGCGTAGGTTTCTGCCTCGGCGTGGATCGTTTCATGTTGATCGATCGCGGCTTCCTCGGAGTACAAATCGTTGGATATCGGCCAATTCTGAGCCACTGGTGCCGTTCGACCTTGAACGTCCCGGCCAGCGTCTCCGCCGAATCGACCCGACGCAAACCTGCTGTACTGGAGTGGTGCACTGGGCAAAGACAACGACGCTCCACGTGAAGCACCAGTCGGAGAGCCAGAGGACCGCAAAACCAGGCCGCAAAACGGAGGCGCGCAAGCGCGGATGTAGCAAGCGAGGAGGAAGCCGGGAAATGAAATGCAAGTAATGGCAGTGGGGCGACCTCCAAGGTGGCTCTTTCCGGAGTGGCAAAAGAATGCATGGCTACCAGGGCAACAAAATGTGCAAAACGCAGATGACAAACAAAACGGAACAAGCAGACAATCGACCGAACTCGAACCAATTTCTAAGATGCAGCGCCGTCCTCGAGACGCCTCTGATGTTTCGCTCCTGCGGCCTGTGCGCACGACTTGGGCGCGTTGGGGCGCGTCAGGAGCTGCGCCAGGCGCTGGCAGGCGTTGTACCTCCAGGCGTGGGTCTCGGCCAGAAGGTTCACGTTGAGCAGGCTTGCGTAGTGCTGGGCCGCAAGCAGGCTCTGCCTCTCCCTCTCCCTGCCCGCCTCCGGCTCCGCGTCCGCGTCCGCGGCGGCCAGCTCGCGCGCACGCTCCCAGGCGTCGTCCGCCCGCTCGTTCGCGGCCAGCACCCGCTGGATGTTCTCCTCCCGCTCGCCACCGCCGGGACGCCCCTCCCCCGTGCCCTTGTCGGCTTCGTGCGCGCTCTGTACCGCAGGGCGCCCACGCCCGAGCGATGCCGAGGACACGCTGCTGCCGCGGACTTTCCCGGGGGCCGCGCGGGGCCTGCTGGGGTCGGCGCAGGACGCCCCTCCCCCCCCATGGCGCGACAGGAGGAGGAGGAGGAGGAGGAGGAGGAGGAGGAGGAGGAGGAGGAGGAGGGACTCGCAGGCATCCGGATGGATGAGCTCAGAACTTGCTCGGGCGTCAGGGGGGTCCCCAGGCCTCCCCTCGTCGCGAGCAAGGAGGCACGAGGGAGGCTTTCGCGACTCTGCGCGACGGCAGGACCTCGGCTGGCGCTAGCCGCTAGGCCTCCCGCCCACAAAAGATCCGCCAGAGGCGCCGCCCAGGGGCGTGGGGGGGGGCCTCCCCCGCGAGGAGGAGGAGGAGGAGGAGGAGGAGGAGGAGGAGGAGGAGGACCCCCAGGCCTCCCTCGGCATCACTCAGTCGTCCATTCCCCGTACATTGTTGTCGATTTCGCGCGCGTATTGTTTCGCAAGATGACCCCAAGAGGCTGCTCGATGGTCCTTGCCGAGAAAAAAAAACATGTCCGAGCGATGCCAAGAGCATGTTCTTCTTCGATCCTTGGAGTTGTTGGCGGCCACCAGCGCCTCCAGCCCAACGTCCGTCGGCAGCCTCTCCGCCTTGAAGCCGTGCTGTCGGAGCAGCCGCTCGTCCCGCTCTGGCAGCTGCAGGTAGAGCTCGGTCAGGTAGCTGACGGTGAGCTCCTCGCCCGGCTCGACGTCGCGGACGGCCTGCAGGACCAGCCTCGGCACGAGGGCCCCAGAACACGCGCAGAGGGCACCTCTGGAGCCCCCACCACCGAGCTTGGCCAGGGCCATCGGGGGCCCTGACATGGTGCATCACGCGCGCCTTGCCGAGGCCAGGAGGGTCTGTACACCATCCTGGACCCAGGCTGGCCCTGGCCTGGCAGAGGGATCGACCTGAACAATGTTTTCCGTTTGCGTTTTGTCTTCGTTTTCCCTCGCTCAGCCTTCGTCTCGCCTTTGCTGCAAAGCGAGATCCAAACGAAAACGGCCCTCGAAATCGCCCAACAACACCACCGCTTAGGTCGAGCCCTGGCTTGGCCTGAGGGGGGGGGGGCCGAACGGACAGATGCGCTCTGCGGAAGACAGACCTGCTGGGCACACGAGCCCTGGACCCCAGGCTGTCCTCCAGGGCTGGCCTGCCATCCCGAGAAAAAGTCGTTGCACGGCCGAGCCTCCCTCCGGGCGGCCGGCTCCCCCTCCGCGAGGGCGCCTCGGACTCGCGGCCGGGCCCTCCTCCGGCGCCGGCTCCTCCGACGCCGAAGGGGGTCCGTGGACGGCCCCCGTGGGGCCTGTGGGCACCGGGCCGCCCGGGAGCGGCGTAAGAGCCTCGAGGAGCCCCCCTCGCCCGCGTGCCATCGCTCGGGCGTCCGTCCCCCGTGCGCTGGTCGGTCTCGTGCGTGCTCTCTCTTTGGGCCGATGGTCCTCGATGGTCCTCGATGGTCCTCGATGGTCCTCGATGGTCCTCGATGGTCCAGGGTGCTCCTCGATGGTCCTCGATGGTCCGAGCGATGCCAAGGCCAGGAGTCATTCTCTTCTTCATGGCGACGCCTGGCTCGGGGGGCAAGCAGCAGCCCCGCGGGCCCGACCGCGGGAGCGCTTGGCCCCGAGTTCCGAGGGGACTCCAGCAGCAACGAGGAGCCTCCGACGATGCCCGACGAGGGCGGTAACGGCCCAGAACCTCGACCCTCGAACCTCTCGCTCGGACGGCGATTCCCCGTGGATGTTTCGGCTTCGTGCGCATATATTTTTTCGCAAGATGACCCAGAAGGCTCCTCGACGATCCCCCTCGGAAAAAATGCACACGTCCGAGCGATGCCAAGCGAACAGCGGTTTCCGCATGGCGACAGCCGACACTCGTCGTAGCCGCCCTCGCCAACGCACTTGCCCACGCCGCGAGTAGGACCGAGTAGAAGCCCCCCCGATGCCCGAAGACAGCGAAAACGGCCCAAAACCTCGACCCTCGAACAGCGTTTTCCGCATGGCGACAGCCTGAGCTCGTCGTAGCCGCCCTCGCCACCGCTCTTGGCCACGCCGCGGCAGACCATGTTCGGGCGGCAGCTGTGGTTCACCATGCAGCCGACCTCCGTGAAGAGCCCCAGGTGCACCTCGCGACAGGCGGGCGGCAGCTCTCGGCGCTTCAGCGTCGATAGCAGGAAAGTAAAATTCATAAACAAAACCTGTTGAGATCCGCGCGGATCTCTTAGAATATCGCTGGGACCCCTCTCTGGCGCGCAGAGCGCACCAAGGGCGGCGTCGGAGGCGCCGCCAGGGGGGGCCAAACGCCGGTCCAAGTAATCCGCGCGGACCTCCGAAGTTCATGTGTATATGACATGAAATGATTATTCTTCTTCTTCTTCCAGAGAGGGGGTGTTTACACCTCCATCCAACCCCTCCCGCCGCTCGTCCTTTTCTGCCTGCCTACCTCTCTCCCTCCTCGCTCGGCCATCTTTATCCGTGATTACCTCCTCGTGTACGCTCCTACGCCTCTCCAGCTCTCTCTCTCTCTCTCTCTCTGTTTCTTTCTCTCTCTCTCTCTCTCTCTCTCTCTCTCTCTCTCTCTCTTTCTGTCTTTATCACTACCTCTCTCTGCCTCTCTCTCTCTGTTTATAGAATATACATATGTGTACTTATATGTCCACCTCTCCCTCTCTCTCTTTCTTTCTCTATTTCTCTCTCTCTCTCCCTATATGTTGTTTCCTCTATCTCTCTCTCTCTCTCTCTTTCTCTCTTTCCCTGTCTCTCTCGCTCTCTATCTCTCGGTCCCTCCCCTCCCTCCCTCTCTCCCCCTCTCGCTCCCTCCCTCCACCACACTATGAACCCGCTGCCCCTCCCAACCCACTGCTCCACTCTCTCCCCCGCCCCCCCGTTCGCTCCCCCTCCCCTTCTCCCTGCACAGGGGGCGGGCAGGCAGCAGACACCTACGATAAGACACCCTACAGTCGAGGCGTTGACCTAAGGAACCCTGAATAAGGAACGAAGCCCCTTTTTTACCCCAAGGAATAACGCATAAGGAACGATAGATAACAAATAACGCATGAGGAACTGTAACTAACGCATGCAAACCTAAGGAACGACCGAGCCCCTTTTGAAAAGCAAGTGTTCCATATTCAAGCCGCCCACTGTACGGTACAAACCAAAAAGTCGAGGGGCACGCTCGTCGTCGAGGTTTCACAGCTTCCAGAGAGAGGGGCCCCCCAGGCCCCTGCGGGGCCCAGGGGCCGCCGGGGGAGAAGCAACTTCCTAGGAGCACCGGCTGGCAAGGTGGATTCTTATTTGACGTGCCTACTGTTAGGTCGGGCATGTCCTCCTACAGGCGGATTTTGGAAGAAAAAGTCAAAACATATACGTATTCAACAACAGCCCAACAATAATCAAACAATCGTCACTTGATTCATTTCCGACCATTTTCGAATATTCGTCCTGTAGAGGGACATGCCCGACTTAAGCCTAGTGTAACTCATGGAGCTCCTGTTCTACAGTCGGGCCGCTGAAACAGGGAACGGTAGATAAGGAACGAAGCCCCTCTTGGGCCCCCAAAAGCGCAGCGTGCCCCTTTTGGAGGGCCAGAGGAACGGCCACAGGATTACCTAGGGAGCATCGAGCCCCTTTCGTGCCCCAGCAGTTCCAAGCTTCAACGTCGTCTTGACTGCACCCTGATTATAGGTTCGGGCGCCAAGTGCTTCCGCACGGCGGTGCGCCAGCGGCGGAAGCCAGATCGGGGCGTCAGGGCCGCTCTTCTGCTGCCGCACGCAAAGTCCGTCCCAGCGCTCGTCCGCGTCACCCCATCCCCCGCAGGGCGGCCCTGGTGGACCTGTTCTCCCGCAGCCGTGCGCAGCTTTGGATAATGGGCGCGCCACGTCTTCGTAGTCGTCGTCGGCGGCGGCAGCGGCGTGGTCGTTGCACGTGCTGCTCTTCGAAGGGCTCGATCCCCTTCTGCAGAGCCCACTACCCAGCCTTCTCATCTCTCTGCCCGCTGATTCCCCTCTTCCTGTCAACTCAGAACCAGGCCGTCCAGATCGTCCGTTCTCCTCCTCGGGAGGGGAATGGAAATCTGAAAACAACATAATCCACATGCATGCGTACATACATACATGCTCACACCTTTTGCCGTCGGCAGCGAGGCGAAGGCGGTCCGCACCAGCGTGTGGCGACTCGGGGAAACCGAATGTCAAGTTTGCCCGCATGCAAGAGGGTACACGCACAAACACAGCATGCATGCATGCATACAATCATCCATACATCTGTACATACACACACATACATGCATGCAGCTATATATCTATATATACATACATTATGCATACACATATGCACACGTGTACACATACAGACATCCATACACACCTACATACATGCATGCATGCATGCAGACATTTCGTTACATTACAACACATCACGCTCCACTGCACTACAAGACATTCCATTACGCTACAGTAACTCTACTTCACATCACATCGCATTACATGAGATGAAATTACATCCAATTTCACATACATAGATACACACATAAACCAGACTACCAAACGATACCGGAGAAACAAAACAATCAGGGCTATAGGGCTAGGTGGCTGTAGGGCTATTGAACTATAGGGCTATAGAGCTATAGGGCTATAGAGTTGTAGGGCTATAGGGCTAGTGGGCTATAGAGCTATAAGGTTACGTATAGGGCTTAGGTCTTTAGGGCTATAGGGCACCCCTGGGCACCCCCGAGCACGCCCAAGCACCCCGGGGCACCCCCTGGGCACCCGGGCCCCGGGCACCCCCAGGCACCCGGGCGTGCAGCGAAAATCGGCGACAAACCTAACCTGACCATATGAATTCGCTAGGATCCCTACAGAGGCAAGCTCTGATTGGGAAACATTACACTACATGGCATGTCATTGCAATACATTGTGCCATGTTGCATTATAGTGCATCGCATTCCATTACATTGCAACACAAAAATATCCGTTACCGTACGCTACAACGCATACATTCATGCATGCATGCATGCATGCATACATACATGCAGGCAGGCAGGCAGGCAAGCAGACAGACAGACATGCAAATATCCATCCATCAATCCATCCATCCGTGCATCCATCCGTCCGTCCATCCGTCCATCCATCCATCCATCCGTCCATCCATACATACATACAGACAGGCAGACAAACACACACACACACATACACACAGACAAGCGCGCACACACACACACACACCTCGAACACCTATATGCATGCATGAATGCATGCATACATACATACATACATACACATATTCTATACGCCCATACATGCATCCATCCATCCATGCATGCATATACACTCATTTCCGTACGTCCATACATGCATACATCCGTCCATACATACATACATGCATGCATGCATGCACGCATCTAAACATGCGTATGTTTGTCCAGCATGCGTGAACTGATTCCCCCTCCTCTCTCCTCCTCCTCCTCCTCCTCCTCCTCATCCTCCTCCTGCTCGTGCCTTCTCCTCATCCACCTCCTCCGGCTCCTCCTCCTCCTCCTCCTCCTCCTCCTCCTCCTCCTCCTGCTCCTCCTCCCCATGCTCCTCACGAAGGCGCGGATCTCCAGAGAACTGCCATCAGGCAGGGCGTCGCGGCCATTCGGCCGCGGCAGAACTCCTTTTCCTTGCCATTTTCCTCCTCCTCCTCCTCCTCCTCCTCCTCCTCCTCCTGGTTTCGTCCGGGGTGAAGAAGGCGGGGTGGTCCGACGGGACCCCCCACCAACCGAGGCTCACGAGGCGTGCGCCGACCTGCCCGAGGGGATAGTCTTCGGCTTTGTTTCCGCCTGTGTACATACCAACGAGATGTGCAAACTGGTTTGTTAATCGCCTCAATCGTCTTCCTCCTCCTCCTCCTCCTCCTCCTCCTCCTCCTCCTCCTCCTCCTCCTCCTCCTCCCCCAGGAGGACAAGTGTCGAGCCTGGCCACCCGGCAGCGCCAGGGTGTGAGAGTTGAGGCTGACGGCCAGCAGCAGCCTCTGGCAAGCAGCAAAAACTCAGGGCCAAGTCCAGGGAAAGCGATGCGACCTGAGTTCCGTAGCAAAGGGGCCCAAGAAGGCGAAGCCAGGACGAGGATACATTCGGGTGGGGGAACATCGAGAATCTCTGTGATCTGGCGATTCTGGCGGAAATCCCAGGCGCAGTGACCTTTTCTCAGAGCCTTCCGGAACGCTATGAGAGCGTCTCGGAACGCTCTGGAACGGACTTTTCCTCGTCCTAGCCCCGTCCGAGCCCACCTCCATCGAGGGCCTGGGCCCTGAATTTTGGCCTCCTGGCAGGCCTTGCGGTGTACAGCTCCCTTCTTCCCTCGAAGGTGGGATAGATGGAAAGATAGAGAAGCAAGCAACGACATAAGCATAAGCAAACGGGGGTCCAGGCAGATGTCTGGGATCGGCAGTGAAACTCCCTGTGGGCGCCTCTGGCGCCACCCCTGGCGCGGTTTGCGTGGTAGGAAGGGGGGACCAGCGCCTACCAACAAAAATCCGCGCGGATCTCCGACAGCTTATGTTTCTGCCGTTAAATTTGGGACGACACAAGACTCGGGCTCGGGGAACGGGTTGGCCTGACGGGGCCGTCAAGAAAATGGCAAGAGCCAGCCTGAAATTTTGCGCGATCTCCCGCTGCAGACATCTCACGAAAACTGTACCGGTAAAACCACTAACGGACCCATCAAAACGCGTCAGCAAACTACTCGAGTTGGGGCGAACTCGAGTCTCACGTTTCCACGTTCTTCGAATAAGATGAGGCGCATTTCGTGGGTGTTTCGCTCCCTGTCTGTGTGGGGAGGACGGGGAGGCAGAATACTGGGGGCATGTGTGACAGGAGGAGCGCGGGTCAGACGAGGAACTTCGTGAGCACCGAGAAGGATGGAGGCAGAATAATAATCTGCCACCGTGCACCCCTGGACGCTGAGGCGTGGTAGGATGCCAAGAGCTGTTTGGCACGGGTTCAAAGCTCCCACTAGCTCTGTAGGCGCAGGCGGTCTGAAGCGTTTCCTGTTTCACACCAACTTCGGGGAGGGGCTTTTTCACTGTTCCTTCTTAATACAACCCCTCTCCCCCACCCGACCGACGACAAATCCTGGACAATGCGGGACCCCCCCTCCACCATCCCCAGTCCAAGCAAACAATAAAAAGTGCACTTCGCACGGGCTCATGCGCGGACGCCACGCGATCACTTTGTATTGGTTGTCGACGGGTGTGGGGGTCCAGCATCTTGTCTGCTGTGTGCAACGCCAAGACCCCCGACCAGCCCTGGAAACAAAAACACAAAGTGTTTTCTGCATCAGAGTCTAGATCATACGCGGTCGATTCTTGCAGGGCCGGCGGGGGGGCCGGCATTTTGCCTGCCGTGTGCAATGCTAACACCCTCCAACCATCCATTCCACAAAAAGGTTACAAAGATCTGTTTGCACAAAAATCTGATGAGCGGACGCCCCGCGCTCACATTGCATGGTTTGTGACTAAGGACGGCGGTGGGGCCAACACATTGCCTGCTTTGTGCAGGCCCACCATCCTTCTGAACGAAAAGCACAACACTTTGGCAGGGACGGCGGGGGCGGCGACCAAATAGCTTTCCAGCATGCTCAAAGAGGCCCCAAGACTGTCCCAAGATCGCCCCAAGACGGCTCCAAGTGACCACGGAGCCTCCCAAGGAAGCCACCAAGAGGCCAACATCCTTTCACAACCTGAGGAATAAATGTCTTTGCCTTCTCGCCCGCTCGCTTTCGACGGCCCTCCGAGACCTCAAGACGGTTCCGAGAAAGCCCCACGAGAACCCCAAGAGAAGTCCGAGAGGGTCCGAAGGCGGCCCCACGAGCCAAAGCGCACTCCAAAGAAGGGTCCAAGAGGCGACTTTAGTTAGAGCCCCTGGAAGGGCGAGGCGAATTTCGAATTTAGTCCTCCCCCCCTTCTTTGACCGATGTCCTCCAACACTTGCCCCCCAGGCGGCCCCAAAGGCTCCCAAGAGTGCTCCAAGAGGGCCACAAGACGCGTCCAGGAGGTCCCCAAGAGGCTGAGACACCCAAGAGGAACCAAGAGGCTCCCCCGAGGCAACAAAGACGCTCCAAGAGACCCCCGCGACCGCCAAGAGGAACCCAGCACGCCCTCTGCAGAGGACCCCAAGAAAATCTCAATAGAATCCGAAGAGATCCCAAAAGGAATCCAAGAGGCTTCTGGCCATTTTGCTCGTCCTCCTCCTCCTCCTCCTCCTCCTCCTCCTCCTCCTACTCATCCGCCTATTCCTCCTCCTCCTCCTCCTCCTCCTCCTCCTGCTTCTCCTCCTCCTCCACCCCCCATGCGGGTCCCCCCCCAGCCCCTCAGCCCACACCCTCCCAGAGCTCTCGCTTCTGCCCCGCCCGGCAGGCCGCAACGCCGCCTCGTCGTCGACGGCGCGGCTCGCCGGGCAGCGCGCGCGCAGCAGGCCCAGGCCGCCCCGCAGCTCTGCCTCGCGGGTCCTGCGCGGCGGCGACGTCGTCGCCGCCGCCGCCGCCGGCCGTCGCCGTCGCAGCCGCCGCAACCGCCGCCGCCGCCGCCGCCGTCGCCGTCGCGGCCGCCGTCTACGGACACCAACCCGATCGCTGTCGGCCACCACTGGAGGAGGCCCGCCCGCGAGCACTGCCACACAAAGCAATGGTCGATCCCGGGTCGCCCTCATCGACGCCGCCGCCGCCGCCGACACCGCCGCCGTCGTCGCTGCAGCCGCCGCCCTCGTCGTTGCCGCCGTTGTCCCAGACATCCGACAGAACTTTGTTTTTCAATCTGCGGCCCCCAACCTTAGGAGGCCACATGCGAACCTACCTCCCCACGATTTCTGAGGGGGGAGGTGGGGTTTACTTGGTCCAGGACCTCCCGAGGGAAGTGGACCCCACCTCCCCCCTTTAAAGTCGTGGGGAGGTGGGGTTAGGGTTCGCATGTGGCCTCCTAGACCTGACGACCACTTCCCCTGGAGGCAAGCTGTCGCCCCGGATCCCGTTTCGATGGTGTGCCGGGGCCGAAACCGCCCACAAGAGGCCGACACATTGGAACTGCTTTCAGCGGCAGCGCCCGCGGGCGCTCTGCGCAGTCGGAGAGGCGAGTCGGGCAACGGCATCGCGACTCGGGCACCAAACGTGTGCTGTTCCTGCGTTATCGTCGTTACCATGTGCACTACACAAAAAAATGGCAGGATTGAGACAAGAATGCTTCGGGTATCTGGGGGCGTTGCCACCCGCGCGACCGTGCTCGGCCTCCTGGAAGGAAGCAACACAAATGATCTGGACCGAGACTGAACGTGGAAACATCGGTGTTGATCTCGGAAATCGTCCAGCCTCGTCAAACCCATGGATCGTTTTCGCGAAGCGGCGTCGGTCGCCATGGATCATGACCAAAATCGGCGCTGATAAGATCCCGCGACATCTTGGTCACGTTGAGCAGGGACCGACCGTCCCAGGATTCCGATAGGCCTACCACGACATACTCCTAGAACAAAATAATGTTCGAATCACAAAACATGCTCTGATAACATTAAACCGGCTAGATGGAAGCAAGACAATATCAGCCAGAACTGTTGTGATCACAAAATATGATTAGAGCATTTTGGGTGGGCCTATAGACAAGCGAAGACGCTTCGCCACTGCTCGAAACTCGGAGACGACCGCCATGAATCATGACCGAGATCGGCGTCGACAAAGATCCGCGACATCTTGGTCACGGCCTAGGGGGCGAAGATCAGTATAAGATAAACTTGTACGCCGTCGGGGACGCCTGCGGCTGCAAAATTTGTACCCCTGCGGTGCCACGTAAGGGTATGAACTTTGCAGCCGCCCGGGGGGGCAGGCGTCCCCGACGGCGGAACAAATTATGTTATACCGTTCTTCGCCCGCGAAACGGCCATCGTGACTCTTCCGTCGACCCTCGGATCCTGCGCGCTGGGAGGGGAAGTGAGAAGTGGCGGGCTTTCTCGAAAGGCTCCGAAGTCCCCCAGGCATTCTGCGAAGTTTGCGTCGCCCTCTCCGAAAACACAGGTGACCTCTCAGAAAAGGCCAGAGGCCCTCCGAGAAGCCCCGCCGCCTTCTGGGAGGGCCTTCTCCTTCTCTATTCCCCCCTCGCTCGCCGCCGAATCTTGTCCACGCCCACCGTGCCTCTTCCCTCGACTCTCGGGCTGAGGAGCAACGATAGGAAGGGACTGGCATAGGGGGGGATGCATCGACCTGGAATCGGCGATACATCGCCGATAGATCGGCGACGGGCCTCCGATAGCGAACCCGCACCTTCCTGGGCAGGTTGGAACTATCGGGCCCCTGTCGGCGATCAATGGGCGATTGGGGGTCGATGCATCCCCCCCTATTTGGGCGCCCGACTTATCCGGGGTAACTCGGGTCCGGGCTAACTCGGGTTTGGATTCCCGAAAAACCAACCCGAGTTAGCCCTGACCCGAGTTACCCCTGATGATTCGGGGCTCTGGACGCCCGAATTATCCGGGCTAACTCGGGTCCAGGGTAAGTCGGGTTCGGAATCCCGAAAAACGAACCCGAGTTATCCCTGACCCGAGTTACCCCTGATGATTCGGGACTCTGACCTATGCCCATCCCCCCCTATCGTTGCCCCCGACGGGTCCTGCGCGCCGGGTGCACGTCGAACTCGCGGCCCGGCCGCGGCGCCAGCGCCCGGGCCTGCGGCTCCAGCCCGCGGCCGAGCAGCGCGGCGGCCAGGCGCACCGTCGCGAGGATCGGCTCCGCCGCGTCCTCCGGCTGCACGGGCACCGCGGTCAGCGCCGTCTCCTTCGGCCGGGAGGGACGAGATAGGAGAAGCCAAAAACGGGCCCCAGGACGCCCCCAAACTGCCTCCGAGAGTCACCGCCAGACCCCCAAAGCAGCTCCCAAGAAGGCACGCACCACAAGTCCCCCAAAAAAACCGAGAAGCCCACGGCGCCTCAACCGCGGACTCTCCGCCTCGTCTGGGGGTCGGCGCGGAATGGCGCAAGCCTTCGGACCAGAAGAACCCCCAAAAAAAAACATGCACTGCCTGGGGTCCTCGCGGACGTGACGTCCTGGTTTGGCGCGCGGAGCGCGCTCGGGGCGGCGCTGGAGGCGCCGCCAGGGGGGCCCCGCGAAGATCCGAGAAATCCGCGCGGTCTCATTTTCTGGACACGCGAAGAAGTAATCCCCACCCCAACAAGGGGAACCTCGGCCCCGCTCGCCGACCTGCGCCCCGCCTGGGCTGGGATGGGCGGCGTCTCCTTCGGGTTTCGCGGCACCGCTCGCCATCTACGTAGATAGAGACCTCCTGGATGGGGCCGGAGCAGATGCTAGGGCTCCCAACTTCGCGCTTCGCGCTGCGCGAAGCGCGAATAACTTCGCGCCCTCGCGCCGCCCTCCCAAAGGGAGAATAAGAGGACGAGGAGGAGGGGGAGAAGGAACGAGGACCGCGAAGCGCGAAGCGCGAATAACTTCGCGCCCTCGAGGGAGCCCTTGTAGATGGGGTCGGAGGATCGCGCCGCATCGCCGATGCATCGGCGGCACGCCGCCGATGCCGCGGCGATGCCTCGGCGACGCGTCGTCGATGTATCGGCAATGCATCGGCGACGCCGACGTGAAGAACATCGGGCTCCACACGGAGCCGCATCGGCGATGCATCGGCGATGCGGCCCGATCCTCCGACCCCAGCTACTCCGAACCCATGTAGGAGGTCCAGACAGAGGGGGGGAGGCCCTGTTCGAATCTGCCCCCTTTGCGGCTCAGGGAGGGGCGGGTGGGCAGCTCGAGCCCCGCTGGCTCGACCCCCCTCCCCTCTTGCAATTCCGTGGGGCGGGGCGGTTCGAACCCCCCTTGTAAGGAGCCGAGCTCTATACACCGACGCTTTTTCTGGCCCCGCACTGCCGCACTGAAACTTCCACAGGGAAGCGGATCTTGGTGTACATGGGAGTCTGGTGTATACATGTGTCCCTGTTCCCCGGGGAGACGAGGAGAAAAGTATACACACCACACCACCCCGACGTCGCCCCCGACCCTCAAAAAGCCCTGGGATTGACAAACAGCCCGCCACTGGTACTGTGTGATCCGGCTCCCGACCTTGCCCAGCGTCCACGGGGCGCGCCCTGTTCCTCTGCTGGGGAAACCACCAGATACCGATGCCGCTACTCCCATGGGACCTCTCCCGGGGCGCGACCGGACCCGAATCTCGAGGCGAATCCAGCGGCGGCGACGAGGGCCTCCCGGGAGGCCCCCAAAAAGGGGCGACCGAGGCGAGGGGCAGTGGCGTATGGGTACCCTCTTGTCCCCTCTGACTCTCTGCGCCTCCCGCGCCCACCCGCGCTCCCCTCCCGCCCCCCGGCTCCTGCAGCACCACGTCGCCCCCGCGCACGGCCTCCCGGGCGAAGAGGCCCGAGCCCCGGCCCTCCGCGGGCGCAACGTGCACGCCCGGCCGCTGGAAGACGACGCGCGCGCCCTCGCCCGCCGCGGCCTTCCAGAAGGCGTCCTTCCGGCCCGCCTCCGCCGCGGTGACCTCCGCGGCCACCTGCTTCACCTCCTCCTCGGCCAGGAGACGTTCATACCATACCCACTGCCCAGGCACGATGGCGGGATAGACCGGGGGCTATTGGATGGTAAGGATGCGCGGTAAGGATGCAAGCCCTTTGGACGCCCGTACCGAAGCTGTTCGAGCGGGGCTGGTGTTCAAGAGTGGCTAAGGATGGACCGAAGAGGCAAGGATGCAGGGGTACCCTTGGGAAGGTTACCCATCCCCCCATCATAAGTTTTGCCTCTGTGACAGGAAACGGCGGACGAGAGAACGGCCCCGGGAAAAGGGATTACGGCGCCGACGCCGCGGACGGCCGAGAGGCGGTTGCCTATGCAGGCTCTCCCGGCGCCCCGCTTGCGCTCCCTTGGAGCTCCTTGGCCTGCGTCCTCAGGTAGTACGCCAGGGGCGACTCCCCGGGCTCCATCTGACCCAGCTGCCCCCGGGGGGGGGGTCCTGACCAGCGCTGCCGCGGGCTTCCTCCACCTCCTCCTCCTCCTCCTCCTCCTCCTCCTCCTCCTCCTCCTCCTCCTCCTCCTCCCGCTGCTCCTCGGTCTGCCTCCGCAGCAGTCCTCCTCCGCCCTCCTCCTTTCGCATCCCTCATCCTCCCTCCCTCGCTCTCCACCACCATTCCTCCTCTCCTCCAGACTCCGCCCTCCGCATCATCCTTCATCCTGCTCCGCACGCCTCCACTATCCTCACGCTTCGTCATGCCTCTTCCACCTCCTCCTCCTCCACAACCACTTCCTCCACCACCACCGCATCCTCCTCTGTTGCTGTTGTTCCTCTTCCTTCCTCCAACTCATCATCACAGATTCCTCATCCCTGCATGTTCCTCTTCCTCCTTCCTCCGTCTTCCTCCTTCCCCCCTCGTTCTCCTCTTCGTCCCATTGCATCCACCCTGTACACCTTCATCCTGATTACCCATCCTGCTCCATATCCCTCCTCCTGCTTCTCCTCCTCCGTCGTCAAAGAATGTATCATCATTCATGCCGTTCCCTCCTGTCCCTCATCATTATCATCCCTCATCTTCCCTCCTCCAGCGTCGTCACCATTGAGATTACTTCTCCTCCCCACTCCTCATCCTCCCTCTCACGCCTCATCCATCTACTCATCGCTTTCGTCGTCGCCATCGCCACCGTCACCACATGAATCCATACATGTGTATACACACGATCACACACAACGCATGCTTTGCTCCGTCTCAATCTGGGCCCGTCGTCCCTGCACGATGACAAATACCGCCACACTGACGAAAGAAGATAAAACGGCACACTTTCAAAACCAACTATTGACCACGTGCGACAAAGTAAAGAACAATGCTGACAAGCCTTCCGTGTGAAATCTTAGCCTCTTCAAGTGATGCCTTCGTCGGTTGCCAGTGATGTGCTCCTGCCCCGCCACAAGACTCGCCATCGCTCGGACGTCCATTCCGTGTGCTTTTTTCGGTTTCGTGCGTGGTTTTTTCGCCAAATGATCAAGGGTGCTCCTCGATGGTCCTCGCCGAAGGAAAAATGCACACGTCCGAGCGATGCCGAGAAGAAACACCCGGCAGGCCCGAGAAGGTCCCCAAGAGGTGCCCCAAGGGGGCCCCCAAAAAGGGCCTCGCCCGTGGACCTCTGCCATCTTCTGGGGGTCGGTGGGCCTCTGAGGGTCGGTGGGCCTCTGGGGAGGGGCTCGGTGTTCCTTGATTGTTTTACAGCTTGCCCAGGGTTTTCCCGAGGTTTTCAATGGTAAATCGAAGTTTAACTTATGGAAAAAGGGGCCTCGTTCCTTGTTTAGGGTTCCTTCGGTCAACGCCCCGACTGTAAGCCTTCCGCGTGCAGAAGTCTGCGGCATCGCGGCACGGGCGGGCACTGCCGCTGCGCCGCCGAAGCCTCGCGGGCCTGCCGAGAGCGAGGTCGGCGAGGGCTCTTCGGGCTCTCGGGCGCCGTCTGAAGTTGCTGGCGGTTGGGGCATTCGTCAAGCAAGGCCTGCGCTACGGGGCTCTTGTTTTTGCGCTTCGAGTAACTGTCCTGGTTTGCCGAGCTCGGGTCGCGGTCGCTACAGGCTTCCCGTCGCAATTGCCAAAAGGGACTCGTTGATGTCGCCGGTGAGCTTCGATCTTCTTGGGCCGTCTCCGGAATTGCGGGAGTTACCTCCGGCTCTCGTGGGGCCGTTTGGGCGTCCTCCTGATTGCTTTGGGCTCGCTGTCTAGGGTAAGGGCATCCAGGAGGCTCGGAAGGCCGAGGGAGCGCTCGACAGGGCCGTCCAAGAGGGGCTCATAGTGCCCCCTGTTGAGATAACCGTCCTCCGTCTCAACACGACCTCGTCCTCGTCCTGCTCAGCTTCCTCCCTCCTTCCCTCTGCCTCATCGTCCTCCTCTTCCCCTGCCCACCCTCTCCGCTGACTTCTCCACGTCGTCCTCGTCCTCGCCTTCCCCTCCACCCGTCCACCTCCCGCAACCCCACCCTCGTCCTCGTCCTCGTCCTCGTCCTCGTCCTGCTCCTCCCGCCTTCGCCCTCGTTCCCCTCCCCCCCACCCCTCGCCCCCCCGGGCCCGCTCCTGCCCCTCCCGCGCCCCTCGGAGCCCCGCGCGCGGCCCCCCCGCTCCCCTCCTGAGCCGAAGATGGGGCGGAGGCCCGAGCGGGCGAAGGGCAGCGATGAGCGGGGGGGGGGGACTGGCACGGAGAGGGGGGAACATCGTCCAGGAACCGGCGATACCTGGCAGCGCGCACAAGGGGGGGATGGGGGAAGGGAGAAGGCTTCTCAGAAGGAGGCTGCTTCTCCCAGGGGGCGGTCATATGTATATATATATATATAAATATATACATATACATATACATATACATATACACATACATATACACATACATATACATATACATATACATATACACATACATATACATATACATATACACATACATATACGTATACATGTACATGTACATATACATATACATATACATATACACATACATATACATGTACATATACATATACATATACATATACAAACATATATATATATATATGTATATGTAGATGTTGTATATGTATATATGGATAAGGCCCGCGCCTTCTAAGCAGCCCCCTTCTAAGAACACGCTCCTGGGCGGGGTGGGGCTATCAGACCCCTGTCGGCGATACATAGGCGATTGAGGGGCAATGCATCCCCCCCCGACCGCGACAGCTCTGTAGACCCATCCAATAGTGGAAACAAATTATCGCTTCAACACCTTCATTGACGGACTGGGGTCCCACCAATCATGGAACATGCATATTTCTCAGCGGCACCCGCCGCACACCGACGACGACGACGACGACGACGACGACGACGACGACGACGACGACGACACGACGACGACGACGACGACGACGACGATACGACGACAACGCTTACAATTACGACTACGACCACGACACGACTACGGCTACGGTTACGGGAAGGAGCAGGAGGAGGAGGAAAAGGAATCGGAGGAGGGGGGGGAGGAGGAGGAAGGAGGAGGAAAAGGAGGAGGAAACGGAGGAGCAGGAGGAAGAGCAGGAGGAGGAGGAGGAGGACGGGCGGAGTCTATTAACCCGCTGAGAGAAACCGGGGGCCCGGGGGGGGGCATGCAAAACCAAAGGACTTCTCTCGGCGGTTACAGCAAACCTACGCCACAACAGCATCTCCAAAGCATGAGGCCCTCCGTCGGCCAAGGCAAAGAAAACATCCAAGGGTGTCTTCCCGAAATTACACAAGAACATCCAACAATCACGAAACACACTAGGGAAACCTTCCCTGAAGCGACCTCGATCTGTATGCGTAACGCCTCCCAAATGGGGTCGGAACAAATGTGGTCGGAGAATCGCGCCGCATCGCCGATGCATCGGCGATGCATCAGCGATGCACTGGCGATGCATCTTCAAAGTGGGTGATGCATCGGCGACGTCGGCAGGAAACCAATCGAGTTCCACATCGAGCCGCGTCGCCGATGCATCGGCGATGCGGCGCGACCCTTCGACCCCATCTCCTCCGACCCCATCTGAAAGGCCTAGACAATCCCCCCCCATACCATCTTGCCGGCTCTTGCGAGTCGACGCTAAATCGACGCTAGTCGACGCGAGTCGACGCTAAATCGACGCTACTCGACGTCAGCCGACGCTAAATCAGCGCTATCTCATCGCCTCCCAAACGCCAGTCGACGCCATTCGACGCTAAAGACGAAACCAACAGGGCACGCCAGGCTCCCATGATTTGCGACCGAAAGAAAATCTAAAACGAAACCAGGACGAGGATAAAATCGTTAGGGGGCAACTAATGGGAGGTCTTCGGCGGAAGGATCACGCCGAATCGAGACTAAGCGGAGGAAGCCGATTTAAACCGGATTTTGGACTAGGGCAGCGTCAAGCTTTGACCTCCCAGGAGATGCATTCGAATCCGAATGACCGGACAAGAACGGAAAGCGCCGTTTGGTCCACAAGGTTTGTCAAATAACGTCTGGTTGAGCACGCCAAAAAACTCCCCACTGGCGTGCCGCGCTGTTCTGCCGTGCTGGTCTGCCGCGCTGGCCTTGCCTCCTCCCCATCCTTCTCCTCCTCCTCCTCCTCCTCCTCCTCTCCTTTCTCCATTCCCCCTCTCTAGAAATAACATTTCCGTGTCGCACCCCGAAGCCAATTTTTAGGGCGGCCGGGCGTTTCGCCTGAGACTTCCTCACCACTTATGACTCTGAAACCTAAAAATTGACAACAATTTCACACATGGAACGCGGGTGGTTTTCAAAATGTGGCTCTCTCCTCAGTGCGGCGCACATTCGTTTTAAAATGTTGCAGGAGCTTCACGGGTTGAGGGCTGGTCTTATCGCGACTCTCGCCTGAGCGCGGCGTACATTCATTTTGAAGATTTGCAACAGCTTCACGGGTTGAGGGCGGGTCGTTTTCAAAATGTGGCTCTCTCCTTGGCGCGGCGCACTTTCGTTTTGAACACTTGCCAGCGCTTCACGGATAGAGGGCGTCTCCTTCTCCGATATGAGGCTCTCGCCTTAGCGCGGCGCCCATTCGTTAACAACAATTGCAACAATTTCGCGGATTCCCAATCGTCAACGTACCAGAAATTGTCTTTTGAAAACTTCCAAGATTATGAGGCGCAAAGGTTACGTTTATTCGCTGGTTCGAAGTTTTAGGAATGGCGTTCTGGAGCGATCAGGATCGTCAAGACGCAACAGTCAGGTTCATTTGGCGCTGGAATCCCGAGAACAATGTTTGACATGCTTCAGGATCTTCAAGCGGCTGTCTTCGAACGAGGCAGTTCCTTCAATGGAAATGAACCGTTGTATGGGGCCTGTGAAGAGGGAGTTTGGAGGGAGGGTCGATTCAAACATCGTTGATGACTCTTGGGTTTACAGTGGTCCTCCTCATTTCCCTCTTCGACGTCACCTGCCTCTTTTCCTCCTCCCGCTCCTCCTGCTGCTGCTGTTGCTGCTGCTGCCGCGCGAGCCCCCCCCCCCACAGATGATTAGCCAGGAATCGCGCGGGAGGGAGGGGGGATGCCCCAAGCGCGTTCCCCACAGAGAGTTCGCCAAAACTCGCGTCGCGCGCGGAGAGCGGGATTAGTGGTTGCTTCTCCGAGCTTGGTGGTTGCATGTGGTTGCTGTGCTTACTCTGGTGCAAGCGTGCGTGTATGTGCGCGTGCCTGTGTATGTGCCTGTGCGAGCGGCTGTGTGCGTGTGTGCGCGGGTGTGTGCAGGGCTGTGTTATGGGAGCGACGGAAGGGGGGATGTACGGCGTGCGTGCGGGATGTGTTATGGAGACGACGGGAGGGGGGATGTACGGCGTGCGTGCGGGACGTGTTATGGGGGGCGACGGGCGGGGGGGATGGTGGATGTATGGCGTGCGTGTGGGATGTGTTACGAGGGCGACGAGAGGGGGGGATGTACGGCGTGCATGGGTGATGAAGGAGGAAGAGAATGGGGAGGAGGAGGAGGAGGAGGAGGAGGGGGAGGAAGAAGAGGAGGAGGAAAAAGAGGATGACGGAGAAGACGGAGGAAAGACGGAGGAGAGACGGAGGAGACCTCGGAGACGGAGGAGACCTCAGAGACACGGGGGCCTCAGAGACAGAGGAGACCTCACAAACGGAGGAGACAAGACCTCGAGCTAAGATGCTGCGAGTGCCGTGTTCCGAGGATGTCTCTGGCGAGAGCCTCATGTTTAACGAAAGGCGTCTGAACCACACGGCCTCATTATCTCAATTGTTCGAGGACGTCTCAGGCGAAACGGCAATTTCCAACGATTCGCTGAATTTCGTAAGCGAGCTCAGTAGCTCATTTTCCGAGGATGTCTCGAGCGAGAACCTCGTGTTTAACAAAAGACGTCTTGATCACACGGCTTCAACATCTCAACTGTTCGAGGATGTCTCAGGCGAAACCGCCAATCTGAGGGGGAATCCCCCCAAAGGACCCCAAACGAGGAATCCCCCCCCCTTGCCCGGCACGACCCCAGACCGAACGCGCCATGGGGGGGGGGGCAGAGGGCCCCAAAACAGGCCAAGAGGGGACTAAATCGCCTCCCAGACGGTTTAAGAGGGCCCAAGGATCGCCCCAAGCAAGACGGCCCTACAGGCCGCCAAATCTTCCCAAGAGGCCCCCAACAGGCCTCCCAAGAGGGCCCCAAGAGGCCAAAATTCATTGATGTTCAATGGTCTTCTCAAGGTTGTTGGGGTTCTCGCCCTGAAGGCTTTCCGACGCTCCAATTTTTTGTTCGAAAGAGGTTTTCTCCAGATTTTCTCAAGGTTTTTGGGGTCGGCTCAAAAATTGTATTGCGCTTCTTGTTTTTTATTGTTTTCTCTCTCTCTCTCTCTGTTTGTCTGCCTCTCACTCCTTGTCTCTGTTTCCCCCTCCCTCCTGTTCTCCTTTTGCTTTTGTGCGTCCTTGCTGTTCTGGTCGTGTCTCGTGTCGTTTCCTTTTTTTTTTTTCGTTTGTTCGTTTGTTGTCGTTGTTCTGCGTCGTCTCCTCCCGGCCTTCCCCCAGGAAACCGACGAACTCGAAGACCGCCATGACGCAGCCGGAAAAGACGACGAACGGGCGTGCAGGCGCTCAACGGAAGAGTTCCGGATCGCCAGGAGTACTGGCGGGGATACGCGAAACGTCAACCATTAAATCGCTGGGCGCCTGGATGTGGCCATCAACCTCGGCATGGCAAGGTTTCGGGCTGCGCACCCCGAGTCGTCCGGGCGGTCTCTACACGTCAACCCAGGCGCGCGGAACGCCTCAGGCGCGCCGCCAGAAACCGCCCAGGACGCTCGGGAGGCCTAGTGAAGCCAGCTGTGCCAGAGGGGGGCCTGGACCAACGAGACTACCTGGGAGGGCCCGAGGACCGCTCCAAGACGGCCCAAGAGGCCCCCAAGACGGTCCAAGAGGGCCCCAAGACGGCCCAAGAGCCGCCCAAGAGGCTCCCAAGACGGGCCCAGAGAGGCCCAAGAGGGGGACCAGGAACTGACAAATCTAGCCTTCTGCCCCAAGACGCTCCCAGGAGGCCCCAAGACGGCCCAAAGAGGCCCCAAGAGGCCCCCAAGACGCCCCCAAGACGCCCCAAGAGGCTCCCAAGAGGCCCACAAGAGGCCCGAAGAGGCCCGAGGAGGCCCCAAAACGGCCCCCAAGACGCCTCAAAACTGCCTCCCAGAGGCCCCCGAGAGGCCAACCACGAGATCCCAACCAGCACACATGAGGTCTCTGACCCACCACCCAGGAGCGGTGGCGAAGTAGGCCGAAGGCAACTAGATAGGAATCAACGGGTCGGCGGATGTGGTGCAAATCTGTAGAATCTCTGATTTGCAGCGGCTCTGAAAAGTCTCGAGCGCCGTGGCATTCTCAGAACTTTCCGGAACGCTCTGAGAGCGTTCACGTTCTGGAGCGGATTTATACTCGTCGTAGCCCCGCCCGAAATGCCCCAGAGAATTGTCCCGACTGGACGCTGGGTGCCCGAGCTGTGGCACGGAAGCCAAACATCCAACGTCCTGGAATCACACACAAAGTATACACAAGCCGGAAGCTTTCTGTCGCTCAAAGGCCCTCGCCATGCCGCGAGGGACCGTCAAAAAGCGGCTCAAGATGAAAAATCTGCCCTGCGGAGTATCGGGGCGCTACTGACCAAACCTGGGCCAATGCAACCCTGACTCTGCAGGATCCTGCAAGATGTGGCGAAGCCGATGCCAGGACGGAAAAGGACCATGGCCCTCCCAGTTGCGGCTGGTCTGTAACGAGTGGCCGCGGCGGCGACGGCGGAGGTGAGGGACGTGGAAGTGGCCAGATGTCGAAGCGCTGCAAATTAGGAGGCCTGGAAATTGGCACCAACACCAGCCCAGGGGGTTGCCCCCACAGGGGGAAGATGATCCTAGATTTCGGTGTTGGTGGCAATATTTCGGCCACCTTGGAAGCCAGAATATTACCACCATCGCCGAGATCGGGATCGTCTTCCCTCGGTGGAGGCACACCGCCGATCTTGGTGTTGGTGTCAACCTCTGGGCCTGCGACAAATGCGGCTGAGGCGGAGGGGGAGGCAGGGCGGGGAGGCGCGGTGGCGGGGGGGATCGGAGCAGATCAAAGGTGCTGCGTCTTCGGGAATAGTTCCCCGTCCTGCCACGCCGTTATGCGCGTCGGCACCAAGCCAAACCCACGCGAATTCACGTCGAATCCCGCGTCGGATACAGGGAAAGACGGCAATGCTAGAGGACACAAGCATGGCCCTCCCGAAGAGGCAGCGCAAAGCAGGGAGACGCCGAACCCGAAGATCCGATGATTCTAGTTTGCAATACGGGGTCCCAAGACTCGCTCTGAGTCGTTCTTTGACGTGTTCACAGCCCCACAGGCCCAACGAAAAACCTCTGCATGCCTTCAGGGTGTTGGAGGTCTGCGTGGACCAGGCCTCTATTGGGTGGCGTGCTGACCAGGATCTCGATGCGCATCCCGGGAGGCATCGATCCTTCCAGTTCGGCGTTCGAACCTTGATCCTCGAGCCTCATCCTCGATCCCCCTCGTGGGAGCCCGACAGGGCAAGGCGGACGAGCGGGGTGCCCGCGGGGTCCCACCGCAGAAAGCCGTCGGCAGCGAGGGGGCGGCCAGCGCGAACCCCGACCGAGGAATACTTGCCGTGGCGCCTGCGCCAAGGACAACATGGAATCGACACCAGACAAGGCAGCCATCCTCCCCAGAAGCCCCTTTCCCGAAAGCACAGCCCCCCTAGAAAGTGATTTCCTCCTCCTCCTCGATTCCCCCTCGGGGGAACCCGGCGGGGCAGGGCGGGCGAGCGGGGCCCGAGCCAAGGCCCGGGCGTGGGGGGCGGGGAGGGGCCCGCCAGGCGGCCCCGCGGCCTCCACCGCGCGGCCGTAGGCGCCGCGGTCCAAGCACGAGCGCAGGGTCGCCGGGAGGCCGAAGAGGACCTCCACGGCGTGGGGGAGGAGGAGGGGGAGGGGGAGGAGGAGGAGGAGGAGGAGGAGGAGGAGGAGGAGGAGGAGGAGGAGGAGGAGGAGGAGGAGGGGGAGGAGGATTTTTTTCCCCGGGACCACGCAGCAGCCCAAGTACACCCCCTGGGATGGCGAGGCCCAGGGGGGAAGCCACCGACCACTGAGGACGGAGGCTCGAGACCCGCGAGGGGTGGGTGTGCCTGGGCGCTCCGCGAGACCAGGCAACAGAGACCCACCCCTGGGTGGCCCCTCACAGGCCCGTAGGACCCAAGGGGGCCCTACTACACCTGGACGGGGGCCGACGGCGCGCCAGGCAGTGGCGCCGCAGCCGCGGGGAAAAAGGCCCACGTGTCAACCCGTACCGACCAATTAGGCGGGGGAGACACGGGCCACGTGCCCCCGCCTGCACAAGAGGGCACATAGCAGAGGGCAGGTGTCGGCGGGGGGCGACCCCCGCCGAACACCGAAAGAAGTGAAACCAGCGAAGCACGGCCAACACGAAACGCGCACGCACACGCACACAACCACGAACCCAAGAGAACGCGGAGCGCGCCTTCCCCCAACAATGGGGTGCCTGGCATGCGTGCACGGAACGGTGCATGCTGGTCACAAAGAACGAGGCCCGTCCAAGTGCAGATGCGCCTGAACAGGACCTCGCCCCAGAAAAGAACAAAGGAAACCTGGCAGGCCCCCACAAAGGGCGGGCCTCCAACCCCTGGTGCAGCCAGCGCCAGGACGACTGGAGGCACACACGATATGTGAGGCGGCCAGCTGGCCAAGGCCAGAACAAGCGAGCCGCTGCAGCTGCTTGTAGAATGAATTGGCAGGGAAGATTTGACGTGTAGAGTCCACCGTGGTGGACGAGCAAGCCAGCCGAGCTGGCAGAAAGTCCTGACAAATTTCGACAAGCTTCCAGCGCAACAAGGGGACGAGAGAAAGAGTGGTCGCCGTGGGCGACGACCGCAAACAGAGCCAGAGGCGCCCACAGTGCAGCTGTCACCACAGGGCCAAACCCCGTGGCCGCGCACCGCAGGCAAGGGCCGTGCAACTGCAACGCAAGAAGACTGCGTCGCACGACCCCTGCGGCACGAACGAGGTGAGTAATCAGCCACACTACAGAGAAACTTAGACTGGCTCCCGCAAAAGGACGGCGGGCCCCAGCCCCTGGTGCAGTCCAGCGCCAGGACGACTGGGGCACCACCCCAGATGTGGGACACATCTAGAAAAGGCAGACCGTGTCAGTATCAACAGTGACCCCAGGCCGCTTAGGGTGGAGCCCGCGTTGCAATTTGACCCACGGATTATTGTGCGCCTTGATATCCTCAGGCTGGCAGACTTTGGCCAGGTTAGCTAACCTGCCTCCCGAGGTCATGTAATTGCACTTCTGACACACACACAAGAAAGAGCCATCAGAGCAATCCATTACAGCGCAGCGGTGGCCAAGGGACCTGAGGACTGCAGGCTGCACTCTCAAAACCACAGTGCAAGAGCCCCCCTCTGGCCTGACTAGGTGAGACCCCCGCTTACCTCGGAGACATTCGGAGCACTGCCAAAACTTGCCAGCCCAGTCCCAGACGTGGGGCTTGGAATCCTTCTTGGCCGACGGGCCCTTGACAGCAGGCACACGGTCCGCGTTGGGACCCAACTCCAGCTTCGGCCAGGAGGGTAAAACTTTGGCAGCAAGTCGGGCCACCGCCTTAGCCACCGCGATACTCCGATCAAGACCCTCAGACTCCAACGGGGAGGGCCTAGGATGCAAGGACAAGGCGGCCTTGGCGGCCTCATCGGCCCAGGCGTTTCCCTGGCGGAGGTACCTGTCCCAGGGATCGTCAGCGGCCTCGATGTCAAGATGAGCCTTGACCTTGACAACGGTGATTTTCGGCCAATGCTCACGCACGAATTGGGCGATCCCAGAAAACATCCTTTTGGCAGAACACTGTTCCGCCCAAGGGAGGCCCGCAAATTCCACCACGTTGAGACAGTCCGAAAATAAAGTACTAGGACCTGTGGTCCACTGCGCCGAAATGGAGAACGCAAAAAACTCGGCCGCCTGGGGCGTTTGCGGGCACGGGGCCCACACAGGCCCAAAGACGCGAACCACCTGCTTCAAAGAATGCCTACAAACCAGGGTGAAGGCCCAGGCAGCTCGGTTTAACTCGCGAACAACACCCCGAGAACACGACCCATCAACAAAGACGTCCCCTTCGAAGGCGTACGACTCCAGGTCCTCGGGCCCACCATCCAGCCATTGAACCTCAACACCTCCAGAACTCATAGCACCAGGAAATGAATCCCCAGGGTGCGGAAAGATCCCGTAGCACGCCAAGAGATCGTCCGCCTCCGAGGCCCATTCCTGCACTTTGGTCGAGACGCACTCGTCCCGAATGTCGGACACACTCGGGCACTGCCACAACCGATGCCTTAGTGTGTCGACTGCACCACCGCACAGAGGGCAGCTCGTCGACGGCAGAATATAACCTAAGCTGGCGGCACGGTCCCGAGTATAAATGGCCTGGCAGGTGAGGGCGCGCATGCAGCCCTTCTCAAACAAAGAGTACCTGGAGGAGTTCAGGTAGGCAAAGGCCCCATCAACGCAGGCCCGACCCTCCAAGTTGAACCTGGCTCCCAAGTCCCACTCGAGGGTCCTACGGACGGCAGCTCTGAGAAGGCTTTTGACCAACCTGGGGGAGAACTCAGTGAGGACCACCTTAAGCCCCGAGTCCGTAATCAACGTAGCGAAACTGGGCATACTCCAAGAGATCCTCTCGAGGGACTTCCTGAGGGCACTGACAGGACCCCCAACACTCCTCCACAGAGGGCTTTCCCGAGAGAAAACCGAGGTCCAAGCCTCGTTCAACTCGGGGAGCGACAGGGCGTGACGGTAGAGACCCATGTGGGAAGTCCAAAGCTCTTTCGACCACCTCACAATGGGGGACACAGCAGGGTACCACGTCGGGTCTTGATGGGCTAAGAGCAAGGTGGTGAGGCTTCGGCCCTTGGCCGAAGGCTGCAGCACCGAGCCAGCAAGCTTCCTAATCTGCCACAGCTCGTAATCTGACACCCCGTAGACCTCGGAGCCGTACAGGGTGGAGCTGAGAGCCCCCGAGGCCCACACAGCCTTAGCAGCCCTGGCACCCACGGTGGGACGGATACGCGCCAACCTCTTGGTGAACGCCCGCGCCTTGGTCTCCCTGAATTTTTGCTTGCTGGAGCGTCCCTTGAGGCGCCTCGGGCGGCCGACAGCATCGTCCACACCCAGATTGGCAGAGGCCGCGACCACCGGTCCAGCAAGCCCGCCGAGTCTCCGACCGAGCTGCAGGGCCAACTTGCGCGAGGAACAGATCAGCGATCGCTTCCCTTCCTCCCGATTGACTATGGCCCCGACTCCCTCCTCAAACACACTGATGAGGCGCTCGGCACTCGGCGGCAAGCTCAGCAAAATGTGCTCGGCCGTGCCTGTGCACGACAAACCTGAGTCGTCGATGTACAGCTTGAAATGAACCTGCGACGGCAACGAGACCTGATCAAGCGCCTGGATCGAATAAACTCTGATCAGCGTCGTCGCAAAAGGGCAACCAGCCACGATCCCCTTGCGGGCCCAGTAAGGCCCGTCCACGAAGCCCGAGAGCCCGAAGAAACGAGGCTGGAGATACATGCTCACCGCAAGGCGAGCCAACCCCATAGGGAACCCAACTTGCCGACACCTGAACAACAGTTTATTCAGATCGATGGTCTCGTAGTACTTATACAAGTCCAGCAGCACAGTGGCGGCCTCGCCCCCTGCGCTAGTGGAAGCCTCAGACCTAACCGACTGCCTCCAAACCACGTCCAAGGCCCCTTCGAAGGGCCCAGCGGCAAAAAACTCCCGCGCGTTTTGAAACTCCCAAACCTGGGCCAGGGGCCTCCTAACTTTCCCGTACACTCGGTACAGGGCACAGAAGTTCCCAATCGGGCGGAAACCAGCCGTGGCCTTAGGGATGAGGGACAAGCAAATCACCGAGATTTGAGACGGGACGAGAGCGGACATTTCCATGAGATAAAACATCGACACGAGCGCAGAGAGCGTAGTGTCGCTCATCATGTGGAAATGGCGTATATGAAAACCGTCGACAGACACGCTAGTGTTATCCCGAAACTTCCTGGAAAACTCACGGACAGCCTCGATGGGAACAGGGGGCAGACCGTCGCAGATCTCACCCAGCTCGAACCAAGGATTCTCTCGCTGACAACCCCACAACTTACTGAACTTACGCGACTCCGCCTTCAGGAGGGACAAAGGGTCGGCCACCACCACCCCCTCCAAAGAGAGGGTGGTGGTGGGGACCCAGAGGTGCGCTCCTTTCGACACAGTGTGGATACGCTTCGCACCCCTATTGGCCCTGAACATCAGCCAATCACGAAACTCCCGATGAGAATCCTTGCGCGATTTAGCCTCCACAGCTCGGAGGTCTTCCAGAAAGCACGCCTGCATGTGCTCAAAGAAATCGAACAGCGGCCCTTCGGGCAGCTCATACATGGGCAGCTCTTGCACGAAGTGACACAAAGACTCAAAATACCGAGCCAAATGCCCAAGGTTGGAAAACATCTTGGGAGGGGGGTCAAGCATCCTATGCAGCACTTCACGCAAACCCGCCTGATTGAGCTCGTTCCAGTGGCCGTGCACAGCACTGAACAGATTGGCCAGCCACCTGCAAGAGAAGAGGTGCTCGTTGCTACAAGCGCCTCGCTTGCTCAAGATGGGCTTCCAAAACATGGAAGGTTCCTTAGAACGAACCCCCCAAACAGGCAAAGTGACTCCAGTCGCCGCCGCCACTTCGCGTTCGGCCACCCTAGCCCATTCCTTGTAGCTGAGGTCCAAAGCGACCTGGGCCCGCTCAAAATCGGCACGGCCCACAGCACTCCGAGCCGAATCCAGCAAATCGAGGACCAAGGTGGAAGGAGCCACCATAGCAACAGCCGAGCCAGGGACCACAGGG